AGCTCACTTATGAAGAAGACAGTAATAGAGTTAGAATCAGTATTAAAATTAAGGAAAAGATCAAACCTATAACCCAGACCTTAAAGCACTGGACCACAAGCTCAAATATCTTGAAGTTTCTTCTTTATAAATATATTTACTAAACAAAGAAGGGAACAATATTCAGGAGCAAAGTTCAGCTATTACTTCAAAAATATGAACAATTTTTTTTTTAAGATTTTATTTATTCCCCAGGATCACGACCTGAGCCAAAGGCTGACGCTCAACCACTAAGCCACCCAGGTACCCCAAAATATGAACTATTTTAGGGGCACCTGGCTGACTTAGAAGATCATATGACTATTGATCTCAGGGCCATGAGTCTGAGCCCCACGTTGGGTGTGGAGTTTACTAAAAAAAAATAATAAACTTTTAAAAAAGAAAAAAATCTAAAAAAATATATATATGAACTATTTTAACAATGTTGGTAGATTTTTTTTAAGGATCGTATGAAGAAAACAATTATGTCAATAACTGAGTCAAAGTGCCAACATTAGAGACATTATCACAAACTAAACAAGGAAACTTCTATTTATAAAACTTTTCTAGTTGGTATTTTGATTACATAAGAGCACTTAGTGGAAGGCTGATGTAAAACAATACTTTAAAGATAAGAAAAGGTACCTAAGTTCAGTTTCCTCAATAGCATGTACTTTGTAAGCTATAGATTTCAGAATGTGTACCTGGGAAAGTACTATGGTAATCTTTTTTTTTTCTTTTGGTAATCTTTTAAAGGCTATGTGTACGACCCAGCTCTGCCAATGGTTAGCTCAAATTCAGGGCCAACATCTATTTCAAGATTTAATTCACCTCGGAAATGAATCATATAATCTGTAAGGTTACTTCCAGCTCTAAAATTCTGTAACTATTTGCATTTCCTTAGGTACATGCCACTTGATTTCTTTGCGATCTAAAAGAATCAGGAAACATGCACAGTAAATAATAAATGCCTTGGTCCCACTGACAAGCAGAAAAGGAAAACACATACGCATTTTAGAAATATATGTATTTTAAAGGATTCAATAGTACTTCAGTAAACAAAATCAAAGAATAGATACAGGATGAGAATATCTTAAGTTATAGTCAATATCGATGGTTTAAAGACTTATATTTGTGTTTATATACATAACATGCTTATATATATAACATGTTACAGCATAAAAGCACACCCAACTTTGTTCTCTTAAGGTAGAAGTTAAATACATATTGTTGAGTGATATTATCTCTGGGTGTCTGTTTATTGGTTTGAGTGTGGGTTCCAGGTTTCCTTGGGTCTCTCTCAAGGCCTCATTTCCTTCTTCAGTATTTCTCTCTCTTCCTGTTTTCCTTCTTCTTACACAAAACTGGCATTCTCAAATTTAATATCCAATTTTCACCACTTGCTCATGTCACATGGCTCTTTGAAATGTTACTAAGATCTGACAAGTACTTTTAATAACAAGCAGAAGCCAAAAGATCACACAATTCAGTAGCTATTTAAAAAGTAGAAAACAATAAAAATTCAGTTGCCAACTTAGAGGATTTTATACATCATTGAATGTTCTATTTTATTTCCATGGTCTGAAATTTCTCACTCAAGACGACAGATTAATTTCTAAACATTTATTTTATCTCTTTGCTGGAAAGAAACAATTTTTTCTTTGACAAACTGTCCTAGGGGAATAAAACAAATGCTTTTCCAAACCAGAGCACAAGTCTTTCCTAATGTCAGTGTGTGATAATTCAGATATAGTAGCAGTCTTTAAAATTTCATAAAAGCTACTGTTAAGATGGTGGTTTGGGCCGTTTTGCAGATGGTCCATCTGAGTTAGTTCTGTTATCAATGTTATTTTCATCTTCTGCATCATCTTCATCATCACCTTTTAAAATAAACATTTGTTGTATGACAATATGTTCAGTAGCTCAAAGAAACAGATTGCTAAAATGGTTGATAATGAGACCATTTCACTTTTAAGGATTAATAAAATCATACATACATCAGATTCAAAGTGTATGGATAAAAAGATTTCAAGAATTTTGGTGTTTAAAATCTTATGTATCGGGCAGCCGGGTGGCTCAGCAGTTTAGCGCCGCCTTCAGCCCAGGGTGTGACCCTGGAGACCTGGGATTGAGTCCCACGTCAGGCTCCCTGCGGGGAGCCTGCTTCTCCCGCTGCTTGTGTCTCTGCCTCTCTTTCTCTCTGTGTCTCTCATGAATAAATAAATTTTTAAAATAATAAATAAATAAATAAATAAATAAATAAATAATCTTATGTATCACTTTTTTTAGAGATGTAATTCACATACTACAAAATTCACTCTTTTAAAGTGTCCAATTTATTGATTTGTAGTATATTCCCTAGGTTCAGCAACTGTCACCACTATTTAATTCTGGAACATTTTTATCATCCTAGAAAGAAATCCCACATCCATTAACAATCACTTCCCATTTCCCTTGGCAACCTGTAATCTACTTTCTATCTTCAGAGATTTGTCTATTCTGGATATTTCATATACATGGAATCATAAGACATGTGGCCTTTTTGTCTGCCTTCCCTCACTCAACATGTTTTTGAGGCTCGTTGTATTGTTTATTGGCAGACACTCAGCCACTGAGCCATCCAGGTGCCCCCAACCTAAGTTTTATGAGGTCTTCATTTAATATACAAAAACATGTCCTCCAATACAAAGATACTACTGACCTGCCATTAATAGAATAGGTCATTTTTCTGATAAGTAATGATATTTCAAGAAATGGTTCTAGCTGGGGGCACCTGGGTGGCTCAGCTAGTTAACCATCTGCCTTTGGGTCAGGTCATGATCTCCGGGTCCTGGGATCAGGCCCTGCATCAGGCTCCCAGCTCTGCAGGGAGTCTACTTCTCTCTCTCCCTCTGCCTGCTTGTGCTCTCTCTCATTCCCTGTCAAAGAAATAATCTCTAAAAGAAAGAGAGAGAGAGACAGAGAGAGAAGAAGGAGGAGGAGGAGGAGGAGGGAGGGAGGGAGGGAGGGAGGGAGGGAGGGAGGGAGGAAGAAAAATGGTTCTAGCTACACTCATCCTATTCCAATAACATTTTCAACAGAGAGAAGTAATTCTGGAGCCAAGAAATAGGATTTCACTTTTTTTTTTTAAGATTTTATTTATTTATTCATGAGAGACACACACACAGAGAGAGAGAGAGAGAGAGAGAGAGAGAGAGAGAGAGGCAGAGACACAGGCAGAGGGAGAAGCAGGCTCCATGCAGGGGGAGTGTGGGACTCCGATGTCAGACTCGATCTGGAGTCTCCAGGATCACACCCTGGGCTGAAGGCAGCGCTAAACTGCTGAGCCACCAGGGCTGGCCAGGATTTCACTTTCAACCCATGTGGCAACACCCAATTAACAATTCATGGAACCAATGTAGAACTCAGTGTAATGGTCTGAGTTCACATTATCTGGAACTATCAAGATGTAAACAAGATGGAATGAAAAAGGAAAGTATAGTACAGTTTAAGACCCTCTTTAGAGGAGTTAAGTCCTGACTCCAATAATTAATTCTTAGGTTCTTCAGGTTGGGTCAGAAAATGTACCTACCTCTTTTTCTATTCACTTAACTTTCATATTTCTCCTTTCAAATTGTACTTTCTAAAATGTGATCTGGGGGGGGACACCCGGGTGGCTCAGCGGTTGAGTACCTGCCGTCGCTCAGGGCGTGATCCCAGGGTCCTGGGATCGAGTCCCGCATCGGGCTCCCTGCATGGAGCCTGCTTGTCCCTCTGCCTGTGTCTCTGCCTCTGTGTGTCTCTCATGAATAAATAAAGATAATCTCAAAAATAAAATAAAATGGGATATGGGAAACGAGACCCTGGGAGTTAGGAGGGGAGTTGATTCCTTCAACTGAAATCTTCAGAACCTACTGTGCGATGGTTGGCAGTCTAACTGGTCTGTAATTTCACCCCGGTAATAACGCTCGTTTTCATCCTTCAACACGCAGCTCAGAAGTCCTGCCGTCTCTGAAGCCTTCCTGGGTCCTCTTTTCAATAGTTGGAGGGCCCCGGGGTCATACTTCCAATCTGTAGTGAGTGTTCGCTTGTCTAACTCCCACCAGCCTGAGAGTTCCACAAAGAACTGCGTGGCATTCACCTCATTCTAACTCCAGAGCACAGCCCAGTGCCCGTGCCCGGCACAGAGGAGTAGGCATTTGGCACGTTTATTGTGATACAGATGGAAAGAGTCGTGAAAACGCTTAAGTAGGAGGAGACCAGATAATATGGCGGTTAAGTGCCAACGATTTTTTTTTCACTTTTTAAAAATTTTTATTTATTCATGAGAGACGCAGAGCGAGACAGGCTGAGGGAGAAGCACGCTCGGTGCAGGGAGCCCGACGTAGGCCTCGATCCCGGGTCTCCAGGGTCACGCCCTGGGCCGAAGGCGGCGCTAAACCGCTGAGCCACCCGCGCTGCCCTAGTGCCAACGACGTTTAGCTGGATTCCTCCTTCCCCGAGGCTCACTTTCCCCAGGCCGCCCCCTCCCCCGGGCCCCCTGCCCCGCCCCCCGCCGCTCCTGCACCTTCTCAGGGCTCACCGTCCACGGCCTCTTCCGCAGCCGCCGCCTCCCGGTCTTGCGCTTCCTGCTGTACCAAGGGGTCGAAAAGCTCGGCCACCAGCTCTCTCATCTGGGCCACGCCCGACAACAGGCCCTGGAAAGGGTCAGCGTCGGCCGGCGCCTCACAGGGCACCCGCAACAGCCGCTGCTGCCCATCCAGCCCGACGTACTCGCCCAGCAGCTCCATGACGACCGCAGAGCTTTCACAGCCAGCGACCGAGACGCGCCACCCGGAAGCGGAAAGCGGCGCGCGGCGTGCGCAGGCGCGCAGGCCGGAGGGGGGGAGAGGAGTGACTTCCGTTTGCCGGGGGTCGCTCCTCCCCCTTCCTTCGCTTCCCTCCTTCGGGATTGGCTCTTGGGACTGGGCCCCGCCTCCTCCGGCCCCGCCTCTCGCAGCCGCTTTTCCCGCCTCCGCCGGGCCGAGCGGCGGTCCCTCTGACAGTTGAGGATGGCTGGGGCGGAGGGGCCCGCGGGGCGACAGTCGGAACTGGAGCCCGTGGTGTCGTTGGTCGACGTTCTAGAGGAGGACGAGGAGCTGGAGAACGAGGCGTGCGCCGTACTGGGCGGCAGCGACTCCGAGAAGTGCTCCTACTCTCAGGTGGGCGCGCGGCCCGGGCCTCGGCTCCCCGGGCTCCCGCCGAACCCCGGTTGGCCGACCCGACTCTCCCTCTTCCCGGTGGAGGTACGGGGCCGCCGACGGTCGGAGGCGCTCCCTTCCCAGGCCCAGCTGCCCTGAAACCTCCGCCTCCCGGGCCCTCTTTCTCAGCCTGTGACCCGCAGGGCTCCCCTCCTCCCTCGGTCTTCCCCCGTCCGGCCCCTTAGGATTCTCCGGGCTTTGGTCCTGGGGCGCCTACTCTCCTTCCTCTCCCGTCTCTCCTTGGTGCCTCGGCTGCTTTTCGGGACCTGTCCCCGTGACCTCTCGGATCCCGACATCTTTGTTCTTACTTTTCCCATCCCGAGAGTGTTTATTTAGGAACCTAGTGGGAGAGCCCATCCAGAGTTAAAGGAGAGAGCTCTGGATTTGAAAATCCGCCCCCCCCCCGGGGGCTGGGCTCCTTGACGCCTAATCCCCTACAATTTAGTTGGACAAGTGCTGGCTCGTGGCTTTTTTAGGTGAGACGAAGCAAGCACAGAGTCTCTGCAGTCTCTGCAGCCTCCCCCCTCCCGCCATGGGAATAGACCGGAACCACGACAGCAGGTGGCACTGGCAGGGGAGGGGAGGGGGGGACTCGCTTGAAGGGTAAATTTGGCATTTGGAAGACGTTATGAATCAGGACTTGAGGGGGTGCGTTGTAGTGTTGGGTGACTCACGTTGTATTTCTAGGTACAAAAATGGAGCAAGGTGGATAGAAGGAAACTACACAGGATGAGAATTGGTAGGAAGAATAAGGTTATGGGAGGAGGGGGTGCGGCGTGGAACATTGGGGGATGAGGTGAGAGACGTGGGGCCATTATGTGGTGCGGCCTGAGTTCATAATACTAGTTGTCATTGTTGGCCCGTGGAGCTTACCGTGCACAGGGGTTAGGTGGTTGAATTAGCCTGGTATCTACAGATAGTCCCAGATGTTGGTGGGTATTTTAAAAACCTTTGGTCACCACTACAACAACTTCTTTTCCTGCTTTCCTTTGAAGGGGGAAAAGTGTGTATAAGCCCTTCTTGAAATGTAGTTAGCTTTATGAAACGGACTTCCTAAAAATTCTCCTTTTATTGTAGGAAAATACGTGGAAACTTGCACACATCCTGCCTCTGGCTTGGGGAAAAAAGTGAACACATGCATGTACCTACCCCCTCTAGATTAAGAACATGATGGGCATCCCAGAAGCTTCTCTGTCTCCCTCCTCTCTAGAGGAGGGTAACCATGTCAAGACTTCTAAAAGTTTTGCCTTTTTTTTCTCCACCGTTTGATTTTGAAAAATTTTAAATCTACAGATAAGTTGAAAGAACATTACGAACAGTTTTGTACCTCTCACATGTATTCACCTTTTGCCACACTTGTTTTATTGCTCTTCTCTATATAATACATATATTTCCCCCTGAATCATTTGAAAATACATTGAGACATCGTGACATGCTAAATATTTCAGCATGCTTCTCCTGAAATCAAAAGGATTCTTTTAATGCATTGATTTCCTCTTTGGTGGAGTCACAAGTATGATATTGCTAACATAAACCTATACACATTCTCCTATATTTTCATGTCTTAAAATGTTGATGCAGACCAGCTTATTCTTATTTTCAACTGGCTGGGATTTTTAAACTATCAATTTTAAGAAAAAAATGATGAAAATAAGCACTAATATAGGACATAGGTAATGATTTGAAACATGTGACAGTGTTTTGGCATTCTTGTGTAATTATTCTCTCTTTCCATTTTGGGGCTGTCTTTTAGGGCTCAGTAAAGAGACAAGCACTATATGCCTGTAGTACCTGCACCCCGGAGGGAGAAGAACCAGCAGGGATTTGCCTAGCTTGCAGTTATGAATGTCATGGAAGTCACAAACTATTTGAGCTATACACAAAAAGGTAAAGATAGTCAGAGATTGGTACTGAATGTCTTTTAAATGTTTTGATTCTTTCCCACCTGCACTTTTTTTCTTGTTTTTCCATTTAAAGTAGTTGTGCACTGGTAAAATTTAATATAATCGTTTTCTATAACTGGAGAGAACAGTTTTTCCAGAGGGCCTTTTTAAAATTTATTTATTTATTTATTTAAGATTTTATTCATTTATTCATGAGAGACACAGAGGCAGAGACAGGCAGAGGGAGAAGCAGGCTCCCCATGGGGACCCCGATGCAGGAGTCCATCCCAGGACCCCAGGATCACACCCTGAGCCGAAGGCAGACACTCAACTGCTGAGCCCACCCAGGCATTCCTCCTCCAAAGGGCCTTTTAAAATATAATTATTGTACAAACTCAAAGTAGTCATCTTTCTCTGCCATTATTTTACTTTTGTGTATGTGATAATAAATATTTGTCTCTGCATGTTAATTTCCAGAATCATTAAATCTTTTATTGTTATGTGCTTGGAGAAGTTTCAAAGTGGATACATGAACAGCAACCAAGGTCACTTTTTAGATCCTAGAAACGCATTGAAAGGGAAGGGGCTATGATAATGATTTAAAGAGTAACTCATTAGATTTAAAAGAAAAGTTAAAACTGGCTCTTCCTCATTTTTTTTCCAGAAACTTTCGTTGTGATTGTGGAAACAGCAAGTTTAAAAATTTGGAATGCAAATTATTTCCTGTAAGTAAGCACTGTAACTTAAAATGCATTGAAAATAGCTCAGATTGATATTTGCCAGAGTGGATAAAAACCATACATTTCCAAAACAAGAAGTTCTCATGCTTATTCTTTGCAAATAGGCAAGTCAGTATTAGAATGTATTCCATTTTTTATTTTGTTGGAAAACTAACCTATTCAGAGCCTACATTACAGATTGCAATTCATATGAAAGATTTTGGTAGGAATGTTCTTTAAAGTAACTCAGGCTTGATTATGTTGTCCTCATGGTTTAAGGCTTTTAAAGCAAAGGGTATGACCTTAAATGCAATTAATAAAAAAAACTTGAAAATAATGTATGTGAGCTAGATGGACACAGGATTTTTTCACTGCTTTTTGGATAATAAAAACTATACTTATAGTAACATTTATGGAAGTAATAGAAATTAAGTAGAAAGTAAGGGATTTTATATTGTTTGGTCATAATTGCTATTTCCCTCCTTTGAAAGTTATTTTTGGACAATTTCCTTGCCTGCTTTTTACTTTCTAGTAATGTGGGAGCTTTGGCTATCAACGCTGGGCATTAAGAAGTATTTAGAAATTCTAGGTCAATGTTAGTTTATATAGGCCAATCATTAATAATTAATTTTTATGAGCATTTCATTATTGATATATTTGGTTTCCCTCAATTACTACAAAGAAGGTACAAAAAATTAATTGTATTTATTCTCTGTATCCTGGAAAAGTATCCTTTTAATAGGAGTGAATTTTTTTTCTTTGAAAGTTCTTTAACTTTGAAAGTTAAAGACCAACTTTTGGGGAGGAAGATATTTAGTGCAGAAATTTATTGAATGCATTAACTTCATGCAACATGACATTTACAACATTTATGATATTATATTCATATTACTTGTATCTTACTGTATTATACTGATAAGTGTAATATGTCATATATACGATATTTATATGACATAATAATTTATACTTTCATGATACTTGAAATTATAGTTAAAATTAGACCATATTATATATTGAAATTAATTTCTTTCAGGACAAAGCAAAGATAAATTCTGGCAATAAGTACAATGACAACTTTTTTGGATTATATTGCATTTGTAAGAGACCTTATCCTGATCCTGATGATGAGGTAAGAGACTGGGAGGTTAATTGGAGGTTAATACCTTCAGTTTGCACTCCTCGGCCTGTTGTCCAGTCTGGATCTCTGTAGCTGTTCAGAGGGGATTTGGGGGATTGTGAAAGGATTCTAGGTTTATCCTTTCTTGGGAGTCTGGGCTGGAGCTGTAACTGGTACAGATCTCAACTGTTCTTCTCACTCTACAGCATGAGAATGAAATACTAGACAGGACTTTTTCAAGGCCAGCACTTTCTTCCTTCTTTCTCGTCTCCTGCCTGCTCCACTCCCCCAAACACTGTCCAGAAAATGACCTTCAACCTCTTGCTTCCCTGAAAGAATAGAAATGTGGTTTACAGACTGGATCCTCTAAAAAATCTCAATATATACAAAATTTAAAAAAAATTTTAAATTAAAAAGAAAATATACACAGAATTTTATAAAAAGTTTTTCTTCTTCCTCACTCCACCTTCTTATTTCCTCGGTATAACCAGTGTTAACACTTTTTTGGGGTATTTTTTTTTTTTTTAATGATAGTCGCACAGAGAGAGAGAGAGAGAGAGAGAGAGAGAGAGGCAGAGACATAGGCAGAGGGAGAAGCAGGCTCCATGCACCGGGAGCCTGACATGGGATTCGATCCCGGGTCTCCAGGATCGCGCCCTGGGCCAAAGGCAGGCACCAAACTGCTGTGCCACCCAGGGATCCCTGGGGTATATGTTTTTACCCTATTTCTGTGCACACATAAGTGGATGTGTGTTTCAATTTGTAATTTTAACAAAAGCGAAAATTCGGTATATTCAGTTCTACAACTTGCTTTTCTCACTTATGTATATCATAGACATCTGTCCATGCAAAACAGCACAAATCCACCTTATTCTGATTGCAACCAGTATTCTTAATGCGACACGCTATAAGTTAGTTACCTAAACGTCCTGTAGCAGACTGGTGGTGTCTCATTTCTGTATTGTAAAGAAAGCTGCAGTGAACATCCTTATACAGTAATATGACTGAGTATATTCCTGCCGGTGTTTATGGATACCTAGACGTAAAACTGGTAAGACATAGGATATTTATATTTCAAATTGCAGTCATGTCTGTCAGAAGAGTTCAGTCACCAACAGTAGGTGATAGCGTATCTTTCCCCACATTCTTCGTCAGCCCTACATACTCGCAATCTTTTAAAATTTTGCCATCTTGATAGAGCAGTTATCTTTCAAAATTTTTAAAAGATAAAATTTATCTATCTTTTAAAATAAAATAAAATTTATTTATCTTTTAAAATCTTTTAAAATTTTTCTCTCCCTGATCATAAGTGAGGTTATGGATCTTTCATGAGCTTATTGAACATTTGTAATTACCTATCTGAAATGTCCTTTCACATTCTTGGCCCATATTCTGACTGGCTTGGATTTTGTTTGTGTATTTACAGATTTGAAGGAGTGTTTTTATGCTTAGAGAAATTAACCTTCTGCCTTCTTCTTGCTTTCTAGTTGTCTTGGAACTGTAATTATTGAACCAAATTATATAGAGGAACAAGTTGAAGATTCGCGTTTTTCCCCTTTGAGGAGTTATAATAGGGAAAAGACAGAACAATGTTGGGATATTAATCAGTAGATGCGAAAGCCTGGGAATGAAAGGAAAACCAACCCCAAAACAGCCTATGCCCTTTGGAATATCATATTCCTAGCAGAATTTAATTACTTAATGATTTAACTAATTCAAGTGAGGGAAATTGCTGTCCATGTCATCAAAAGACTTAATAATATTCACTTTTCGGTTTCAGTGAAATGAAGGAGTTGAAGAATATAGGGTTGCTACATTCTACATTGGTCAGTTCACCTTACCTTTCTGGGTCTTGGTTTACATATAAAATGAGAAGACATTACTTAAACAGTTTTGTAAGAGTTAGATGCCAAGTAACCGAAGTGAATGAGCTTTGATGGTTGTTTCCATAATTTTTTTTTAAGATTTTATTTATTTATTCATGAGAGATACAGAGAGAGAGGCAGAGACAGACAGAGGGAGAAGCAGGCTCCCTGCAGGGAGCCCAAGGTGGGACTCAATCCCAGGACCCCAGGATCACGACCTGAGCCAAAGGCAGACACTCAACCACTGAACCACCCAGGTGTCCCGTGACGGTTGCTTCCAAAGTGCTCATCCCAATGTAACCTTCTGCGACACCAGTTCCTATAAAGTGAGCTTTTTTGGCCTTGTGACCTGCTCTTTCTCCCTGTCTTCTTTTTTTTTTTTTTGATTTTTATTTTTTTTTTATTTATTTATGAGAGTCATAGAGAGAGAGAGAGAGAGGCAGAGACACAGGCAGAGGGAGAAGCAGGCTCCATGCACCGGGGAGCCCGACGTGGGATTCGATCCCGGGTCTCCAGGATCGCGCCCTGGGCCAAAGGCAGGCACTAAACCACTGCGCCACCCAGGGATCCCCTCTCCCTTTCTTCTTGACTGTTGGCATGTGGATAGCAGTTTCATACAATCAGTAGACAATTATTTAATATCTAGTTCTACTCTTGGGCAGATTTACTTGCATCCCAGAATTCATTGTATGTACTCATTAACAGACAAACTGCTTTTCCGTGTTAGATTCCAGATGAGATGATCCAGTGTGTAGTCTGTGAAGACTGGTTTCATGGAAGGGTAAGGAAAGCTTTTACTTTGTAAGGCTGTTGTCTTCATAGAAAGAAAAGTTCTTTTCTTTATACATTGTGCTATGTTTTACATTATAATTACTCTTCTAAAAATAAACTATGAAGATATGATCAGTGTTCTATTGCAATATTTGTTTATTAATTAATGAGCATTTTGGACACTTGGAGACCACAAGAAAAATACTCAGTTTTTTGTATTCACAGCATCTTGGTGCCACTCCTCCCGAGAGTGGGGATTTCCAGGAGATGGTGTGCCAGGCTTGTATGAAGCGCTGCTCCTTCTTGTGGGCTTATGCTGCACAATTGGCAGGTAGGTGTCTCTATGGCATTGGTGTGCCACAGACTTGTGCTTGTGAAATTCCTACATTCAGTCCAGAATTTTTAGCCACTGTTTTTTTTTTTAATTTAAATTCAGTTAATTTACATATAGTGTCTTATTCATGTCAGAGGGTAGTGATTCATCAGTCTTATATAAAACCCAGTGCTCATCACATCATGTGCCCTCCTTAATGCCCATCACCCAGTTACCCCATCCTCCCCTCCAACAACCCTTGGTTTGTTTCCTATGATGGAGAGTCTTTTATGGGGCCTAAGTGGCTCAGTTGGTTAAGCAACTTCCTTTGGCTCAAGTTATGATGTCAGAGTCCTGGGATCGAGCCCCATGTCAGGCTCTCCACTCAGCAGGATGTCTGCTTCTCCCACTCCCTCTGTGCTCTGGTTCTCAAATAAATAAAATTAAAAAAAAAAAAGTCTTTTAGCAACTTTTTTTTTTTTTTTTAACATTGATTGATTGATTTGAGAGAGCACGAGCAGTGGGAGGGCAGAGAGAGAAGCAGATTCCAACACAGGGCTTTGTCCCAGGACACTGAGATCACAACGTGAGCCGAAAGCAGATGCCCAGGCACCCATTAGCAACTGTTTTTAATAGGACTCTGAGGTATAGAAAAAGTGTAAGATACGTTCCTTCTCCACAAAGTGCTTCTAGATTGCTTGGGAAACTACCAAGAACAAATTTGTACTTAAGTAGCATGATAACAGAGGCTGGAGGAGACCAGATTTAGGGAAAAATGGAGGAGGCAGTTTTTGAATGGGATTTTGAAAGATAAATAGAACCAAAAGAAATGGTTCTTAAATGTAAGACATGTTATTGGTTGGAAAGGGTTTAGTACAGTTTGTTATGTAGTGTTTTATTATACACTAAGGAATTGGCCCCAAACAACTATAACTAATCAGCAATGAATGATCTTGAGGCAGTAAATAATTTAATTCAAATGCGTTACTTAATTTATTTTTAGAGTGGCAGTTACTCATAGTGTCAGCTGCTCTGTCCTCATAATGTCTTGCCCTTCTCACCTTTAAGGGAACATTTACCATATGAACTACAAACAACATAGCCATGCCTAAAATCTCACCCTACTCTTTGGTTGTGTCTCAAAATTCTTAAATTCTTTGCACCTTCTTTCTGTTCATACTCTTTTCCATTACATCTCTCACTTTCCACTAGACCTGTATCTATTTCTTACTCATTGGGTTTTTTTTGATGGATCCTCCCCATCTCCCATCTCTTCGTTTACTTCCCTATCAACAGATGACCTAGTGTTCTGTTGAATTGAAATGCCAATTGGAATGAGCTCCCTTATCATTCTTCTTCTCTTTTTTAAAGATTTATTTATTTGTTTATTAGAGAGAGAGGGAAGGAGGGAGAGAGAGACAGAATGTGCCAGTGTGGGGAGGGACAGAGGGAGAGAATGCCAAGCAGACTCCCCTGCTGTGCACAGAGCCTGACTAGGGCCTCAGGACCCTGAGATCATGACCTGAACCGAAACCAAGAGTCAGAAGCTTAACCGGCTAAGCCACCCAGGTGCCTCTCTTGTCTTTTTGATAGTATTTCTGCCTCAAAATCCATCCATTTTTATTTCTTGCTCTCATAGAGAAATGCTGGTTGTTTTTCAAAACTACCCTACCGCCTGTGTTTGCAGTTAAACTTCTCCCTGCTTCTTGCTTCTTGAGATACTCCACCTCCTTTTACCATCTGCAATGTTTTTTTTTTTCCTTTACATATAAAGTGCTTAAGTATTTTTTTTAAGTGCTTAAGTATTGATTGGCATTTTGATTTTTTTTTAAGATTTATTTATTCATGAGAGACAGGGAGAGAGGCAGAGACATAGGCAGAGGGAGAAGCAGGCTCCTCAGAGGAAGCCCAATATGGGACTCCATCCTGGGACCCCGGGATCACAACACCTGAGCCAAAGAAAGACGCTCAACCACTGAGCCACCCAGGCGCCCCATATTCTGAAATATTTTTTAACCAGACTAAGTGATTTCACTGTTTAATAAATAGGTCTGTGGATATGTATGTTTCTTTTCATTGAACCCACAGTAACCAAAGTATCTGCAGAGGATGATGGGTTGGTGCTGAATGTTGATGGAATAGGTGATCAGGAAGTCCTCAAACCTGAAAATGGAGATCATCAAGATAGTACCCTCAAAGAGGATGTTCCAGAACATGGAAAGGATGCTGTCAAGGAAGTTAAAGCAGAACAGACTAGTGAACCCTGTACCAGCTCTAGTTCTGAATCTGATCTCCAGGTAACCAATGAAATAAGAGCCACAAAAGAAATAAAGCTTTAAGCAAAATTAATTCTGTAAGCTCTGTAGCTTTGGATTTCAACTGTACCCTTTGTCTCAAGAAATTCCTCTCTACAACCTAAGCTATGAAAACTGTTAAACTGTAAAAAAAACATACTTCAAAACTTAATTTTATTTCAGACAGCATTTAAGAATCAACATCTCAACATGGAATCACAGTCTAGCTGCAAACTTCAGGAGCTTAATGCTAAGCAGTTTATAAAGAAAGACACTGCCACCTATTGGCCCGTGAACTGGCGTAGCAAGTTATGTACCTGCAAAGACTGCATGGTGAGTACCTCATCAGGGTCAATGTCACTGTGTTTATTATGGATTGATGCCTCAAATAAGGCCATCTGAAAAATATATTTATGAAAGTGATGCTAGGACTATTGAGAACAGTGAGATATTTTATGATTTTGTTTATTTATTTATTTTTTAAGATTTATTTATTTATGATAGACATAGAGAGAGAGAGTGAGAGAGGCAGAGACACAGGAGGAGGGAGAAGCAGGCTCCATGCCAGGAGCCTGACGTGGGACTTGGTCCCCGGACTCCAGGATTGCGCCCTGGGCTAAAGGCAGGTGCTAAACCGCTGAGCCATCCAGGGATCCCGAGATATTTTATATTAAGCAAATTTATGGAATGCTACTGGCAGTCGCTTGTGGAAGTAATTAAGACTCATACAGTACTTTTTATTTACTTATCTTCATTTTAGTGGAAAATAGAAATTATCATTTTTATATTATAGAATTTACTTGGAAATAAATTGGGGAAAACCTGGGTGCCTCAGTGGTTGAGCATCTGCCTTTGGCCCAGGGCGTGATCCCAGGATCGAGTCCCACACCAGGCTCCTTGCAGGGAACCTGCTTCTCCCTCTGCCTGTGTCTCTGACTCTCTCTCTCTGTGTCCCTCATGAATAAATAAATAAAATAAAATTTAAAAAAGAAATAAAAATTGGCTGAAAGTTACAATAAGTCAGTAGTTTTTAAGTAGAGATCTCTTAGACTATACAACACCTACTGGGAAGTTGAGGAGATTTCTAGAAGAGATTTGGGCAAAAAGAAGAAATCACTCCAATTCTGTACTAAGGTTCAGGTTTTCTGGAAGTTAATCTAAAAACATTAAATGACTTTTTAGTGATTCTCATGAAGTTGACCTCCCAAAAATGACATACAGTTCTAATGGGAAACTGGTTTTATTTTTTGAAGAAAATGTATGGCGAGCTAGATGTCCTGTTCCTGACAGATGAACATGACACAGTTCTGGCTTATGAAAACAAGGGCAAGGTCGACCAAGCAGCTGACAGGAGAGACCCTTTAATGGACACCCTTAACAGCATGGACAGAGTCCAGCAAGTGGAACTTATTTGTGGTAAATGCTGTTTGAACCAAAATTCATGAAGTACATAAAGTTTCCTTCACTCTTAAAATATGAATAAGGAGGACCACTAATACCTGTCATTTTGTTTAATACAAAATTTAAAATCGGAAATGCAGAGTAGGCCTCAATTACACTTGCCTAATTGTAGTGTTGCTGGGTATTTAGCTGTTGTCAGAACTGAGTCCGAGTTCTGTACTAGGATCATCATTACATGCTTGAGAGACCTTAACATATGCTGTTTTGATTCATAGTAGATGTACGAGTAAAGAATAATAAGAAAATCAGTGTCTTTTCCATCCATTGAAATAGTTTTCACTGAACATTACAGGTCCTCTTTTCTGACGGTCCCTCAGGCTGCTCCAGGGAACCGCCAGAGGGGAAAAACATCCCTAAGCCCTTCATTGCAGGCGTTTGCATATTTCCCCCAGCATACCCTACAGATTTTGGTAATTTCCATCCCAGCCCGTCTCTACTTGGATGCCAACACCTCTGTGGCATTGATCATTTCTGTCTTTTATTTTTAACAATTTAATTTCCTTTGCCTGTATTAGACTAAAAGCTTTTCAAGGATAGAGGCTGCATCTGAAAGATTTTGTAGCCCTCAGGGTGCCTCATATATAATAGAAACTATTAAGTGAGTGAATGAGTTTTAAACTTAGTATTTGACAAGTTCAGGATTATTTCAACTATTAGAATTCCAGAGAGATAGGGGAGCCTGCTTCTCCCTCTCCCTCTGCCTGCCGCTCCCCCTGCTTGTGCTGTGTGTCAAATAAATACAATCTTTAAAAAAAAAAATTTCTTAGGTAATCTTTTTGGACCTGAGGATTTTTTTTTTTCCTAAGAAGTAGAGTTCTAGATATCAAAGTGAAAGAACTTGGGAGAAATTAGGAGCAAGTTTCTATGCATGTTTCACTTAGAAAAAAATTTAAGGTATTAACAATACTCAAATGTTAGTGGGAAAGTACTTTGTTTTTTTTGTTTTGTTTTGTTTTGTTTTGTTTTTTAGTACTTTGTTTCTAAAAGCAAATGACTTGCCTAAAGTTTACTCCCTTTTTTGTTGTTTTGATTTAGAATACAATGACTTGAAGACTGAACTCAAAGACTATCTCAAGAGATTTGCTGATGAAGGCACGGTATGTTAAGTTAAAGAACTTTAATCATATCCCTATATGTTTTAAATAAACTGTTTATTTTCTTGGATGAAGAAATGACAGTGCATCTTAAACTGGATGCTCAGGAGGTGAATGCAGGCAGAGCTAAAGGAAATCAGTGAGAGGTGGTGAAGGAATGGCCTGGCCACGCTGAAAGACCAGAGGGAAGGAGGGGTGAAGGGGCCACACGGGTCTGGAGAGAATACATGTAGCTGAAGAGAAGGCCATCAGCCATCCTGACTCGGCCTATCCTAACCTTCAGGCAGAGATCCTTGGATGAAGAAGGAAAAATGACCAGGCAGGGAAAAATTAATGCCAGACCCCTTTTTTGGATTATAGAGTCTATAGTTGAGAATAAAAGAATTTCAAAACTGGGACTAAAACATTTTTCTTGCTAGTAAGAGAATCTATACACTTTTAAGGGTGACACTGATTCTAAAATGTGTATATTTAAAATAGTGTTTCAGAGGTGCCTCGGTGACTCGGTTGGGTGTCTGCTTTCAGCTCAGGTCATGATCCCCCAGGGTCCTGGATCGAGCCCTGCATCCAGCTCCCTACTCAGTGAGGAGTCTCCTTCTCCCTCTCCCTGCTCATGCTCTCTCTTGCTGAAATAAACAAAATCTTTAAAAATTAAATTAAATAGTCTCCCTGATGAGTTACAGATACCTCCTGGCTCTTTACTATTCATACACTGGTGACAAAAAATTTTCTTTCTCTTTTGTTTTTTTTTAGATTTTATTTATTTATTCATGAGAGACACAGATACATAGGCAGAGGAAGAAACAGGCTCCCTGAGGAGGCGGGGGGACCCGAAGTGGGATTTGATCCCAGCACCCCAGGATCACGACCTGGGCCAAAGGCAGATGCTCAACCACTTAGCCACCCAGGCATCTCAACAAAAAATTTTTCTGAAATACTTTTCTATCTTCCAAAGGCAGATATTAAACAAAATTTAACTTTTCTTTTCTTGGCCTAAAAGTATCTTTATAGTTGGTTTGCTCTCTGTGTTTAGACACAACTTAAGTCAGGCATGGGCCTAACAGCTGCTGAGGAAGTGTGCTGACACTTGCTGTCTTGGAAGGAGACTTGGCCAGCTTGCTTGAAGCCACTTTCTCCTTGCTCATAAATGTGGCAAGAACTTGGAGCTGCCTGGATGTCTGGACAGGGTCACAGCCCTGCCTTTCTGCAAAATGAGTTGTAAAGTCAGAAGTTTTCTAGTTGGTGTTCTCATGTTTTAGGGAGTGCTCTTTACGGTCCCTATGAACATCCTCCTGCCTCTCAGCAGTTCTTAAACTACAGTTATTGCTGTTCCTCTGGTTAAAGTAGACTCATGTTTCTCTTTTGCTAGAACTGAGAACATTCATGGGGCTCCTGGATGGCCTAGTCAGTTAAACATTTGACTCTTGATCTCAGGTCAGGTCCTAATATCTGGGTTGTGAGTTCAGGCCCCATATTGAGCTCCACACCAGGTGTGGAGCCTACTTTAAAAAAAAAAAAAAAAAAAAGAAACTAAGAATGTTCACAGGTGTAACTATTTTAACCTTGGCACTATTTTTTTATATTGTAGGTGACATACAATGTTACATTTGTTTCAGATGTTTATTAACCTCTGCACTATTAATAGAAATTTGAGGTCTTTCACATGTGGCAAAATATTTTTTTTTATTGTTTGTTCCATGACATTACTAACTAGATCTTTACAAAAACAAATAAGAGCTTTCAGATACAATCAAGTTAATCTGCTTTGGTTGTATTTGTCCACATAAGATAAAAAGTTCTGGATGTTCTCAGATGATGGACTGCCTTTTATTTTATGTTTGTGTTTGACTATAAAAGAACACTTAGAAACTACACAATTTCTTTTTTTTTTTTAATATTTTATTTACTTATTCATGAAAGACACAGAGAGAGGGAGAGACAGGACATAGAGAGAGAAGCAGGCTCCATGCAGGGAGCCCGATGTGGGACTCGATCCCAGGACTCCAGGATCACGCCCTGGGCCAAAGGCAGGCGCCAAACCACTGAGCCACCTAGGCGTCCCAAAACTACACAATTTCTGAGACAAAACAAGAAAATGATTTATCATCAAACCCCAGTATTTATTCTTTAACATTTCTACTGTGCATGTTGGCTATGACCATTTGAGAGTCTAGAAGCTAAAAATTGCACCCTCTAATTTGCATGCTTCCCTCTCCCAATATCCTTGTAGGTAAAATTGTTTTTTGTTTTTTTTTTAATGCCTTTCAGTGTTTAGTGTTGGTGATGCAGCATAGGGATAGATCCTTTGAGTTGAAATTTCCACATGTCCTGTATATTAGCATTTTTGTAAGTGAATTCCCAAGCCATTTAGCAAATGTATTAGAGCTTTGAGCTTCTGTGTCTCGAGTGGATTAGCCACCTAGATCTTGAATCGGGTTCTGATTCCTCACTAGTTGACCAGCTGTCTCATTCTTGGTGCTTGCAAAACTGGTGTATCAGTTACTAGTCTGTGTCGTTCTTCCATTTAGAGGATTAATAAGTATCCTGTCATCCCAAGGAAATTATCCAAATAGGCATGGCTGTTTGTGTACTTTAGCCACACTTATCTTTGGGGGGTGAGAAGGAGAGTTTCAGTTAATACACAAGTATTTATCTACTTTCTTACCTTTTCCCCCTCTCTACCTCTTGCTCACCTGTATTCCCTGGGCTTTCTTTTCCTCTTTTTCTTTCCCTCCCTCTACCTGCCCCACCTTCATTCCTTCATAACAGTAAGAATGTGTTACCTTTGTACTTAAAAAGTAAATGAACAACCTGTCTCTTTTGATGGACTTCAGGCAACGGGTAGGTCCCATCAGCTGGCTAGACACTCTTGTGAGCAGAGACTCCTTCCAGGGTGTCCCACTTCTTCATCCATATTACCCCACTTACCTTATTTTCTCATTTCTAGTATCTTATTTTGCTAATATCATAAACACCTTTGTATGATGCCCTAATAATCCGTTTTCCAAGGAAATGGAAGATAAATTTATCTTTGCATAAAATGGATATTCCATTTCCTAAGAGTAACACTTCTTTATTTTTGGCCAGTACTCTTTTTATGTAGCAAACATTTCTAATTTTGGACTCACGAAGAGGGCGACATTTTTGGTTCCTTTTTTCCAGTAAAGGAGAAAACACAAATCTCAAAGCAAAACAGACTTTGTTTTCTGTGGGCACTCACACGGAGCTGAAGGATCTTCCCAAGAGACAGCTGTGGTCACGAGAGAGGGCGCTGGTCTTGAGAGACCTTCTGGGTGCTGACTTTGCCACTTTCTCTTCAGCCAAGGGACTTACTATGGGCCAGGCCATGTTTTACAGGCATTAAATCTGATCTGATCTCTCAACAACCCTGTTAGTCAGATGGGTCCTGCTTTTACCGTATTTCATGTGAGGGGGCCAGAGTGGGTGATGGCACCTGTGCTCAGCCCTGCTCTGCTCTTCCTCTTTACTGTGTGACTCTGACCAGGCCTGCGTCTGTGTACCTGGAGAGGTTCTATATAACATGGAGACAGTATAATCACAGATTAAAATAATTTTTTGCGTGTGGAAAGGACATTTATTTACCAAACTGTAAATCAGAAGGGGTAGGCAGGGTATAATAGGAGGAGCTGAGTGGTCACGTGTTAGGCATCTGTTCCTCCTCTCTGTCCTCCTGGGCCTGGATCCTGAGCTCCTCAGCTCAGGCCACCTTGGACCACAGGTAGGAGCCACCCACAGATACATCATTCACTTCGAATAGGTGTTCATAGTTTTTCTGGATCTCCTTGGGGCTCAGCTTGGAGACATGGGGACTCTGCTGGGCCTCCTGGAGGCTGAGGCTAGACAGGTTGGAGGTAGCCACAGATTGGTGTCAAGCCCATCTTGGCTGCAAACTCCTGCCACAGGGCTCCATGCAAAGGCCGCGCCTACCACTGCATCCCCATCACGATGATCTGGGCCAGGTGTTTGGCCCTGGTGGCTGCTCCACCTCAGCGTCACAGGCTCCGGCCTCCTGGCCCTGCGGCCCCAGCTCAAGGGTGGCCGGTGTGTCCGAGGTCAAGGGAGAGATCACATTAAAGTAATTCATATAGGGATCCCTGGGTGGCGCAGTGGTTTAGCGCCGGTATTTGGCCCAGGGCGCGATCCTGGAGACCCGGGATCGAATCCCACGTCGGGCTCCCGGTGCATGGAGCCTGCTTCTCCCTCTGCCTGTGTCTCTGCCTCTCTCTCTCTGTGACTGTCATAAATAAATAAAAAAAAAAATTAAAAAAAATAATTCATATAAGCAGTATTGTTCACCTTGTCTGTGACTGTTATGACCAGTTAATTGCCAACCTGTAATGTGTGCCCCTTTCCTAATCTGTGCTTCCCATCAACAGGTTGTTAAGAGAGAGGACATCCAGCAGTTCTTTGAAGAATTTCAGTCGAAAAAGAGAAGAAGAGTGGATGGGATGCAGTACTATTGTAGCTAGAGTGGGGGTCGGCGCCTTCTCAGCGCGGCCAACTTGAAGGCCACTTACTGTGCCAGGAATAAAAGAGGCGTATCTCACATCTGGTCCGGTTCCAGCCTCTCCCTAAAGAGGCCTCCCCTCTGACCTTGAGCTTCCTTTTCTCCCCAGTTCCAATTAGCCACACGGTGTATGCTGATCTGACAACCAGCACCCTGACTCGGCCAAACACGGCTCATTCCTCAGACTTCAGGCTCGCCACCCGACTACCAAATAACCCCCAGGTTATTTGCTTAGAAGTTTGAAGAAGTTTGATTGGGTTTTGAGAAAGTAAACTAGTTTCTTTTCTAACGACTGGTTCTTTAACTCGTGACGTGTCCACCCTGCCACAGAGCTGTTGTCTCCGGGACCTGCTGTGCGGGGCAGGCCGGGCGCCCTTCCGGTCCGCAGAACCCTGCCTAGTCCCTCAACCTCTGATCACGGTGCCTTGGGTTGGAGCCTCCTCGGGCCTGGTCAGCCTCCCACACCCCTGCTCTCTCGAGTGTGGTCACAGTGGGAGGCATCTCGAAACTTGCTTCTCCTGGGCCCAGCCTCCAGGAGAGCCCAGGCTGAGGATTTTCTGGGCTGGTTGCCTGTCGCAGGCAGGGAGGTTGGCCCATGGCAGGATCGAGGAAGCCAACCTTTGTTACAATTTTTACTAATAAATTCAAAGTGAAATTTTCCTTCACAGTTCTCCTGGCACTAGAACATTAGGATTTCAGTACTGTAGTGCTCGCAGGGCTTCCTGGAGAAAATTCGCCCGTGTGCTAGTCCCTCATCTGCTGCTTAGAAAACAGACCGGGTACTACCCTGTGAAATCTTGGTGGTTTACGAAGTCCTCTGGATTTCTTTCTATTATCAGGGATATTCATAAGCGTATAGTAAAAACGGACCTATTTTGATATTGTTCTGTTATGAAAATGTTATTAGAACCCCAGTAAATTATTATTTTTCCCTTTAAATCTGTGTTGAAGAAAAAAGATCCTGGTTTAGCTTACTTGTAGCGAGCAGGGTGGTGAGTGCCCTGTTCCGGAAGAGGCAGACTGTGTAAGAGATTCCAAACTAGGCCCCAGCTGCACAAATGATGAGCTTTATGTAAATAAATGTTCGTGTCCACAGCTGGTTCTCTAATGACCATGAAATCTGCTTTTGAAGACCTTGTGGAATGTTGTATAAAACCCCATGTTTGAGGGGAAGTCTCCTTTCAGTTGGTAGGAAATCTCTCTACGGCCCTCAGTCTATGTGGACAACAGCTTTGCTAAACACAGCCCTCAGTTGCCCTCCGTGTGGAGCAACACGGTCTCTTGTGACAATAGATGACATGCCTTCAGGTATGTGGCCCTAAGTACTGGAGGCTTTGAAGCCACAAAGTGTACATTAATTTTCCTTCATGTGTCCTGTTGCAAATACCAATCCCTGGATGAGATGAATTTGGCCTAGAGAACCTCAAAGAAAATGGTCCAACCCCCAGTTGTCTGCATCAAGCCTCCTAATTCCAGATCCCCCTGAAGAGTGATGTGTAGAGCTGGAAGGTCTTGTGGCCGCAGGAGATGCTGGTGTGCCCTGAGCTGGCCGTGTAGACCCGCGAAGTTGCCAAGCTCAGGGCATCTGGGAGATCGTGAACAGTCAGCCCCCGCTTGGGAACTCCTTTCCAAGCCTGAGGAATTCCGCGGGCCCCCTGCAGGGTTGCGCCAGCACACAGCCGTGGCTTGCAACTTACTGTCTTCACAGACATTTGCTCTAACTGCCACGAAGTTCCTGGCACCTGTGACAGGTCGGGGCCAAGTCTCAGAGGCCACGCGTTACTGCACAGCCCAACGTACGCATCACCCAGTGCAGAAGGGCTCTTTTAGAAAGGTACCAATCCTTCTTTTACATTAACCAGAAAACCTCTTTTTTTTTTTTCTTACCTATGTTCACAACTAGTTTTCTTATTGACCATAATGGACGGTCTCTTCTTGTAGAGACTGATTCTGGCCAACATGTGGCAGTTGAGATAAATGCATGTTTTATGCAAAACAAGAATACGATAGTTGCTTTTAAGGAATTCTGGCATTGTATGTGCATTTTTGTAGAATTGTTACTGGACTTACTTACATACTTTAATCAGGTTTCTGTAAAATTTAAATAAAGCCAGTTCAACAAAATAGCAGCCTTACAGGTTGTTTGTATTCAGTCCTCTTTAAATGTGCGCAGCCTCCCTCTGCAGGTTATAAGAAAAATGAATGTAACGTGAGTGTCATAGCAGCCGTTCCCGCCCTGGGGTCCTGCTCAGGCAGGGACTTTTCTCCTGCTGTTCTAGGAGACGTGGCCTGATCTGAGGTCCGCCGGCAGGCTTCCTGGACTTGCCCGGGCTTTACAACCTCCTCCTTCTTATTTCAAAAGCAAACATGAAAACAACCCAAAAAGCCAATGTAGAGGCCCATGTTTGGCCTCTCCCCTGCTCTTCCATGGGAATTCTTCAGACCCGTGTGGTCATCACCATAGTGAGCCGAGCGCAGGTAAAGTGCTGTCTCCAGTCCTGAAGCTGCCACATGTCTGAAGACGCAGGATTATATAATCCTCAATGCCAGCAAAGCTGCAGTTCTCCTGCTCCCGGACCAAAGGACCCTAGTGGGGCGGAAGGAAATTGAGAGCAAGCCAAGTACCGCAGGACCTTGGTGGTGACCTTGGTCAGCTCCCCAGTGAAGAGGAGTGTGGTCTGGGGGAACGTGGGAAGTACAGCAAACCAGCCCGGTTCCCAGAGGCCGGCGAGACTGTCTCCCAGTCAGGTCACCTTGAAGTGGCTGCTGGATGCAAGCCTTGGTCTGAGGAGGCATCTGGCATCTGGCACTGGGCCAAAGCCAGATGGACCTCACTTGCCCCCTGCCGAACCACTGGGTGTTAGATGTGTGTCCTCTGCTTACAATCCCAGGATCCCTCAGTTGGAAGGGACCTGAGAAGTGCCCCAGTCTCACCTTCTGTCAGGACAGGAGGCCCTCATTCACGGATGTACCTCATAGGCGACCTGTGCTGCTCGTTGCCACTGGGTCCCAAGGTCTCCCATGCTTTGGGTGGCAGTGGCCCAACCTGCAGTTTGGTCTCTGGCCTGCCACCCCTGCCACATGATCTGAGGGGCATTGACCACAGCGCTCTCAGCTGCTGGCATCTATTGTGTGGGCACTGCAGGGGGTCAACACCATGGAAGGCAAAGAGAAAGATTCGGTGATTTAGACATCGAGCCAAGCCTTTCCCAAGGCTTGTGCAACCAGCAGACTTTTCTACGTTCGCTTGTAGTGTCAGAGTGCTCACTGCCTCACATGGCACTCCTCCTCTTTCTCCCAGTCCTTGATGTATCTTCCTGGACAGAAAGGCTAGCTGCTGCTTCTGGACTTTTCCACTGGCTTCCCATCCAAATCTTTGGTGTTCCCCCAGGGATTGCTCTGGCTGGAATTGGGAGAGCTGTTCATGGCACTCTCGGGCACCTGCCCTGGTGGCTCCGCCCTGATTCCCCAGCTGGAGACTCCCCCTTGGGTTTCCCCTCAGCCATCTTTCCTCCTGTTAGGGCTCCTGTGGCTCATGCTACTGCTCCCCCACTTGCATCTCAGCCTCCTGGCTTCCCTCTCTTGCCTCTGCCTCAGGCCTGAAGCCTCCTCAATGCAGCTCACCTGTAATTAGATTGAAAAGTTTTACCACTGTGTTAGGGTTCTCTGGAGAAATATATCCTATGGGGTCTGCTAGGTATGTGTGTCTATATATGTGTGTGCATGTGTTTATCCAAATGAGATATATTATCCTATTTATATCACAAGAAACTGGCTCACACAATTAGAGAGGCTGAGAAGTCCCGCGATTTGCTGTCAGCTGCAGACCCAGGAAAGCTGGTGTAGTTCCAGTCCAAGCCTTAAAACCCAAGAACCAAGGGGAGAGCTCATGGACTCTCCCAGTTCAGGAGATCAGTGTTCCAGCTCCGTCAGACCAAGAGGACATTTTTTTCCTTCCTCCGCCCTTTTGTTCATATATATATATGAGAGAGAGAGAGAGAGAGAGATAGAGAGAGACACACAGGCAGAGGGAGAAGCAGGCTCCATGCAGGGAGCCCGACGTGGGACTCGATCCCAGGACTCGATCCCAGGACTCCAGGATCACACCCTGGCCCAAAGGCAGGCACTAAACCGCTGAGCCACCCAGGGATCCCCCTTTTGTTCTATTCCAAATCTCAACAGTTGGGATCATACCCGCATCCCACCCTGGGGAGGGCCCGCGGCTGTACTCAGTTCCTCCATTCTAATGCTAACGTCATCTGGAAGCACCCTAGGAGACCCCCAGATATCTTGTTGGCCAGGCATCTGGGCACCTCTCGGCTGAGTCAAGTTGATGCAAAATTAACCATCACGACAGCCAACCCGTCTAGTTTGTCTCACACCACCCCACGGCCCATCTGTGGAGTAATGGAGGCCCCCGGGGCCTGTGGGGTCCTGGGGGCTGTACCCTGGGATGAATGGTGGCCTGGGCTCTGCCTATTGTCACATTTGCTCTTGCCCCAGCTCTTCCCATTTTAAGAGGCCCACTGGGGGCTCCTCAGGTGTGTGGGGTAGCGGGTCCCTCAGCTCCTTCAGGAAGGCGCCCCCTAGTCTAGGCCTGGAGCTATGAGTAAAATGGCAGCAACTGGGAAAATGAGCCACTTTGGAAGCACAGATGCACCTTCTCCACAGGTTTATTTACTGCAGAGTCAAAAGTCCCTCATTTCATGACATCTCGGTGGGGCATGGAGAGATGTGAGACGCTATTCACGATCTCACGTTGCCCTGGCATCAGGGCAGGCAGCAGGGAGCTACTTGGGAGTTCCTGTGTCTAATATCTGCCCTCCCTGCTAAGCCCTAAGTCGGTGAGCCAGGGACTGTCTTTCCAGCTCATTAGGAAAGTGCTGGAGTGCTGGAGCCTGGCCCGATGCCTGGCCCGATGCCTGGCCCATGGCAGGGCCCCACCATGGCGCACGCAGACTGGAAAGCTCGCAGGTGCCTGGCAGTGCTGAGCAAGGCCATGAGCTGGAAGCTTCTGCAAACGCCATCTCACTTCCCCCTCATGGTGACCTTAAGAACATGAGTTCCTCCTCGTCCTGAGATGTGGGAACAGAGGCTCTGAGAAGTGGAGGGTCCCCGAGGGGTCCAAGTGACCCGGTATCAAAGGCAGGTCTGACCCCAGGCCCGCCCGGCCCACCGCTGCTTCCTGGGAGGAGGGGAGCCTCCGGGGCAGAACTGCAGGCGGAGCAGCCTTTCCCCAGAAAGCCAGCGTGCCACGTTTTTGTCCCAGGGCACGAGGGACACTGACGCTTTTCTTGTTTGGTTTTGGTAAAACGACTTAGACTCACGTGCCAGAATGGACTTGCTTCCTCCTTCCAGAGGGCCCGGGCTGTGGGGTGCACAGGCCCTGGCCCCCCGCTAAGAGAGAAAGTGGCCTGAGGGGGAGCAGAAGCTGCCACTCACCACCTGTGAGGAAGCGCTGAGAGAGCAGCATCCTTTCAGGGGGTGAGGCTCCCGTGAGAACCTGGGACGAGGGCAGCGGCTGGACAGACCCGCCCCCAGTTCACCCTGGCTGTTGAGCTCCGAGCCTTAAACCGGGGTCAGGATATTTAGGTGCCTCACCGGGTTGTGACAAGTGGGGGCCTGGAGCAGACGGTAACGGTTAGCGGTTAACCAGGTGGTAACCGTCACTTAGCTGGCGAGGCAACAAGGTAGAGGAACAGAGACCGGCCCAACGTAACTCGGTGGGGTGGCGCAGGCCCCAGGGCCCTTGCACGGATTCCATACAGTGAGTTGGTGTTTTATTTTATTTGTTTATTTGAGAGAGAGCACAAGCAGGCAGAGGGAGAGGGAGGAGCAGACTCCTTGCTGAATGAGGAGGCTGACGTGGGGCTCAATCCCGACGCTGAGATCATAGCCTGAGCCAAGGGCAGACGCTTAACTGACTGAGCTGGCCAGGTGCACCTTGCTGAGTGTTTTTAGGAGAGGAAGCAGAGTCCACGACATAATCGGGGTAAAAGCACTTTGAAAACGAAAATGTGTGGGGCGCCTGGGTGGCTCAGGGCGTTGGGCATCTGACTCTTGATTTCCACTCAGGTCATGATCTCAGGGTGGTGAGATCCAGCCCTGCACTGGGCTCCGTGCGGAGTCTGCTTGGGGTCCTCTCTCTCTGTCCCCATGTCCCGCTGACTGTCTCACTCTCTAAAAGAAGAAAGAAGGAAAATGTGCTCCACCGAGTCCTTCAGCTCTTTGTCTCCAGCTCGGGGCCTGGCATGCAGGCAGCACACAGTAAGTGCTTCCAAATGACCCAATAAGCACCCTACAGAGCAAGTGTGGCCTACACAGGCCTCCCCTCTCCAAGGGCGGCAGCTTTTGTCATACTGGGCACTTGAGCCTTTGTAGCCCACAGCCCGACCAGACCTGGGGGACGTGTCTCCACAGCCCATCACGGTATCCTGAGGGTGTTCACACAGACAGTGCTGCGCGTTCCACGAGCATAGCTCCGTCTTCCTGGTGGGGAAGGGGAAGGGACTCATGGAAGACGGGGCTGAGGTGCTTGTCAACACACCCTTGTCATCAGGGCGCTGGAGGCTGCACGAAGTCCTACCACGATTAAGTGGGGGGGGGGGCGTCAATGGAGCTCGCGGCATGTGAGATCTGGGGACACAGGGTCTGTTGGAGTCCAGGGTGTCCAAGGAAGACCGCGATGTCCGCTAGTGACTTGGGAGTCCTGGTGGGACACTGTGGGGATCAAGCCTCCACCTTGCATGGCAGCCGGGGCTTTGAGTGGGCAAGAGTGTGGGAAGGACCCCAGGTCCTGGGGTGGCACAGGGTAGGCTTGGGAGGAACAGGGAGGTGCTGGGTTGGGGGCTGGCGCTTGCTGGACATCGGAGAGGAGGTGCCATCTATGGGCCTGAAGTCCAGGGGTCAAGGCCGGGGGTAGATCTGTGAGTTCTCACCACGCTTAGTTATGAAAGCCACGGTGACGGATGAGCTCTTCCGCACGGACGGATGTAAGGAGTAGGAGAGAGGATGTCAGGGAATGCCAAGGTTGAAAGGAGGAGCCTGAAACAGGAAGCCAAGAGGCTGCCAAAGTGGTGAGAGCAGATCCAGGAGTCATGGCACAGAAGCTAGGGGTGTCATGGGGTCAATGTTGCCAAATCACATAAGGTATAAAGTGTCTGTTGAGATCTAGACAAGCTCTAAGCCAATCGAGGAAAGAGACAAAGAGATAAGATGGGTGGATTTCTCCCCCCGGCCACCCCCTCATTCCTCATAAAGCTTATTTGGGTGACGTGGCTTTCTTTGTGGAGTTATGGGCTCCTGGGCCAGAGCCCCAGGATGGGCCACTTAGCTGCTGGCAGGCAACCCCCTGCAGGACAAGCAAGCGGGGTCACCTACTGCTTGGCTGGCTGGCCCCATTGCCTGGGGACTTTTGAGAGTTTCTGCTCTCTTTGGGTAGCTGGTTCCTGAGAAAGGAAGGAGAGGAGAGGCGGGCCCGCAGGCAGAGCCTTGCCTTCCTGTTCCCTAACACCAACTCCCAGCAGTCAACAGTGCTCCCAAGTGCCCTCCACATGGGGAAAATGAGGTGGGTAGTGCCCACCCTAATTTATGGACCTGAGGATGGCTGGGGACCAGGCCAGGTGTGGTGGGTCTGGGTAGCCCTGGGGTGGTGGGAAGTGGGGGCACTATGGCCTCTCAGGAGTTTGGGTGCACCTATTGGAATATACAGAAAGGGTATAGGAAGTATTTATGGTACCTTCAAGAGAAGATTCTGGATACGCAGGATATTTGTGTAGCTGAAGAGTGTGCCCTTCAGGGTTTCAGGAGGAGTGTGCCCAAGGCAGCAGCTGCCCATGGTACCTCACAGCAGCCCTTGCTCTGCGAACGGGAACAAGAAGACTTTGGCTCAGGTGCCTTAGGATTATGAGGCCCCATCAAGGGCTCAAGGAGTAAACTGCTGTCGCCCCATTGAAGGATGAGGATCTTAGGGTTAGGTGCTTAGCTCTAGGTCCCTCAGGCCCGGACGTGCCCTGGTGGGCGCTCTGGTTCCTTCCTTGGGAACACAAGCCCTTCTTCCCTCGGGTTTTCCTGGCTTTGGCTTCCTCACTCCCTCTGAAGCCCAGCCACCATCCAGCAGATTCCCCAGGATGGAGACATGTGATGCTCGCCCCCAGATCCCGGGCTCTCCCGCACTGGGGAGACCTCAGAGGCGGGCAACCTCGCCCTGGCATTGACACAAAGCCCAGGGCTGGCATCTGGGGAAATGCACACGGCTATGTGGGCCGGCCAGCTCCAGGGGCGTTCCAGAGACTGAATAAAAAGGGGTCCCTGGGCCAGAAATAGGCAGATGGAGGTCACTGAAAGGAAGCCCATGAAAGATCCCAATGTCATTATCAGTGTCACGCATAAGGCTGTGTTTGGAGCAGGGACAGTGCAAGGTTAGCAGGTGACGGACGGCAGAACCATGCCTCTCCCTTCCATCCTTTGTCAAAGGGAACGCCCTCCAAACCCTAATGAGCTGAGCAAATGTGACAGGGAGGGTCTGGGGGTCTGAAGGTCACTACTTGGGAAGTGGCACGTGACTGTCATCTGTACAGGATGAGTGAATGGTAGAAGTGACCAAATGTCTCAGTTCATATGCCTAGGGCCTGGGAAGGGGCGGGATGATAGGTTCTGGTGACTGGGACGGGCCGCTGTCATCCGTGTTCCCTTGGGGATTCTAAGACGAGCCACCAGCTGGTGCTGAATGATCTCTGTACACGGGCAGAAAGTAGCTGGGTTAGGAATGGGGTCTTTTGAGAACAAATTGTGCTGAGTTGGCCTCCTTTCCCACGCTGATGGGGTCAGCAGTCCTCGAGTGGGGGACATGCCCCAGCTAGGCTGCACCCGCTGTCACAAGCGGAGATGAAGAGCAGGGCAGCCGGGAGGACAGCGCCACTCTGCAGCGTCCCAGTCAGCCCACAGCTCGGGCCCTGCACCCCTTCCTCCGCGCTGCCAGCCCAGAGCAGCTTCGGGCCTGGCCTCCCCGACCCTCTGAACAGCAGCCGTTGGGTTTTGAGGAGGGGTGGGATTGGTCCCCGATCTCATGTGTGTGTAATTAGCTGGAAAAGGTAATACGTGGGCAGCCCCGGTGGCTCAGCGGTTTAGCGCCGCCTTCAGCCCAGGGCTTGATCCTGGAGACCCGGGATCGAGTCCCATGTCGGGCTCCCTGCATGGAGCCTGCTTCTCCCTCTGCCTGTGTCTCTGCCTTTCTCTCTCTGTGTGAGTCTCTCATGAATTATTAAAAAAAAAAAAAGGTAATATGTGCACATACCTTGAAAATTCAACCAGGACTTAAAGTGTGCAATTGAGCCCCCACCTGACGACGGTGCCCCTCGAGGCTGTCCTGGGGACGTCACACGGTGCTTGCAGACATGTTCACATCCCTGCGAGCGGGCTGCGGACCCCTTCTGTCTTCTCCTCGAGTGGAAGCAGATTCATGCGCTCTTTTGTCCTTCACTTCTTTCACTTCCTGTATTCTGAAGGTCATATTCCCTGCTCCCTGAGCGCGTCCCCCCACCTGGCCTCCGGGTGCCCCACATGCTGTTTTCCTTCCACCTGCTGGGCTGCCCTGGCTGGAAACTCCCTCTAGCTGAACTGTAAAGGTTGGGGCTCCTCCAATTGATTCCTGGGCCTTCTTTGCATCTTAAACCTTCCCCCGAAGCCACGCTATCTACTCCCGAGGTGGACAGCTCCCACCTAGCACCACCCCCCACCTTTGGACCCTCTCCTCTGAGCTCCTAGCTTGCACCCAACTGCCAAGCACACATGATCACCATTAAACTCTCATCTTCCTACCGACCCGACTTCTCTTGCTCTCCCCCAAACCAGCGGGCGCTGCTGGTATCTGCAGTTGTCACAGGGTACTCAGGATCCTATCCAGAACCTTCCTCGTTTCCGGTCAGCCGTCTGGGCTCTTCTAGAGAGGGCTGCACCGGCCTTCTGCCTCACAACTCTGGCAGGGAAGCTTCCCGTTGTTGCTAGGGTCAAGATGCCCCGATGTGCCTCTCACTCCCTGAAGCTTATTTCCTCAGTGCTTCGCATCTTCCTGGAAACCCTCCCCCGAAACTCCTTCCTCCCAGCCTTGTGGTTGGTTTTGACTTTCCCCTGACCTGCACTGGAAAGGTCACTTCCACATTAAGTCTTCCCCATCCTGGGGCCAGTTAGATCCCCAGCCTTACCTCTGTAATAATCCAGTGTCTTCTATTCCTTGACACCCTAAAATTGTTATGGGCAGGACTGTGTCTTGCTCATTACTGTCACCACAGGACTTGGCAGTGTCTGGCAGTTAGAAGTTACTTATTGAATAAGTCAATGTTTGTGAAACAAACGATTGCCATGCCTGTGCCTGCTTGGGCCAACATCCTTTCTGGATTTGAGCCTAGGCTCTACCAACTTACTAGGTGTGTGACCTTGGAGAAGTTACTTGATGTCTCTGTGCTTTGGTTCCTGATCTGTAATAAAATGGCACTAATAATAGTATGTAATTCACAGAGGATTAAAGGAAATAATGTCGAATTCATTGATTAAAAAAAAAAAAAAGTGCCGGGATTGAATCTGGCAAGTATTCCTCCTCCCATCCATTCCTGAGCCATGTCAAGCCAGTTTTCCCCTCAGCCATGATAATTTCCTACTGCTCTATACTGCTTTGTTTCTGGAACAAAACTTTCCGGCGAGAGTCCAGAGTTTCTGAGAGTAGGTATCCTGTTGGCTCTGTCTGCTGGAAAGAGGAGATCGAGAAATATCCCTCAATGCACTGAGGAAAGGTTAAAGCCTGCCATGGCTAAGGAGGTGGCCTGAACCCACTATCCCAGGGGTCATCTGCGAGCACAGGAGTGAAAGTTGACTTATTCATTTTTCTTTTTTAGATTTTTAAGCAATTCACATACAAAAATGCCCTTAGATTTTATCTTGAGAGTCCACAGTCAAACCTAAGATGGTTACAAGATATAGTCAGTCACCTTAGTGAGACGTGCAAGGGGAAATGCTAGAAGGGAACTTATTAGTGAAATGATTACAATAAAAAATGACATTGTATAGCAACTGAAAAAATGGAAACTAGAAAACTTTCTATTTCACATTTTTCAGAAACTTAGACTAGATCATGACTCTCTTACCCTTTCAAATAGTAAGTGAATGGACCCCGAGTTTGAAAGAAGAAAAAAGCTCAGATACTTGGGAGACCTGAGTCTTGGATGTATCTGGGTATCTTGCTGCTGGACCAATGCCTGGCACCTTCCAGGCTTGGGTCCAGGTGGGCAGAATGCTGGACTTCCTTTGGAGACCCCTGTGCAAATTAATTCTCTGCTAGAATTTGTAAACTGAAGTCTCTCAGAAGTGTCCTACTGAAATAATAGAAAAGAATGCACCTGATGTAGATGAAAATGTCGTATTTCCAAGAAAACTGTAATAATCTTAAAGAGCCCCTGATTAACTGAGATCCTGGAAACAGAAGGTAAGTTCATCTGGAAAACTCCCAATTCTACCCTTAGTGGAGTACAATCGCCTCTAGAATTGAGGTCTGCATGCTATAGGGCTAAAACAGACTGTATCCAACTCAGCAGGTTCTATACAAGCCATTTATTTGAAATGCCAACTATGTGTAGGATAAAGTCAGTGCTACATGCTTATCAGTAACAGTAGAAAAATAGAACCAGTGGAAACCTTTGTACAACCGTAATGATACTCAAAAGAGAAATCTATCGTTTTACAATGCTTCACACAGACGAATTCAAGTTTGGAGGTACCTAAATAAAAATACTATATATTTCTTTTAAAAAACACTATGTACAATTGAAGCGTAAACAAGTTTTACAAAGTACTGGTTATGCAGGTTGTAGAAAACACTTGCATAGGACATGAAATCAGTTTAAGAAAAATTTCTGAGCCTTTAGCATTGAAGGCACTTGACTTTATACCAGTAACAGCACAACCACAAGAAATGCAGTGTTGTAGAAGATACCACCTCTCTGAAGTACAGATGTGGTACATAAACAGCAAGTGGGGTTCAGGAATCTTTAGCTTTCAGCCGCCCCATCTAAGAGCAGGATTCCATACCATCTGCCCATGGAACCCAGATACACAGTCACGTGTAGGTACACAATGAAGCTTCCAGAGCTTATCTTGTCTCTTAGAACCCACATAAACACACAAACACGAGAGGTTATTTTCAAGACACACACCTGCAAGTAATCTTTCTATACGAACAGCCACAGCATTATAATATTCAGAATGTGGAAGAATGACACATGGTCTGAGGGTTTTCTAGAGGAAAAAAAAAGATCTGAAGACTTGCCAATAAAACAATTATATAACAGCTACTGCAATCTACAGGACAAAAAGACAACTTAACATTTCATAAAACATTGTTCATACAACAGTGTTAATGGAAAAGAGTAAAATATCTTTTAGTGTGTGATGATAACTCTTTTAGTAATGTTATGTGTAATGAGGTTTGAAAGTAAACCACTTAGTAGACAAAGTAAACCACTGCAGAACCGGGAATAGCACCCATCACTGCTGCTTTAATAGTAACTTTCAACTGAAAGTTGAAGGTCAACAAAATAATAATTAAAAAAAAAAGAGTCAAATAAACATTTCCCTTTGAGTTCGTTCCTAAGGTAAAAACATGAATGCCTCAGAATTGGAAAACAAGTGTCTTACAAGTGTTTCATGAAACGCATTTCCCCATGAATCGCGGATTACACATATGAAAATCCCTATTTTACTGAGTAGTTACTGAGAAACATTCACCCTTCCCCTGTGGAGATTGGGACATGGCAATGTCAGCCGTGAGCTCCTGTGGCCCCTGCTGCCCCCCAGGCACTGCAGCATCACCCACGTTCTCATGGACAAGGGCTGCCCGCTGGCAGAAGGTGAACAGTCACTCAAAAGAAAACCCAATTAATAGGTGGCAATTGCAATAAAAAGTTATTGAGGACGCAAAACCAAGAATTAGGTAAAGTTTCACAGCTCTACAAAAAAGACTCAAATATAAAGATCTTGTTAAAAATCCTTAATATCCAACTGGTTCTGGAAATGCCGGGAGAGCTTAGGTCTAGGGGCGTGTGCCTAGAATAGGCTAATGGGGCACAGGCCATGGTGCGTGGGAATCTGAAACAGCTGCTTTCTACTGATAATTTTTGCCTTTCATGCTGCTATTTCTTTTCGAGCCACAGGGGACTTTGAACTTAGCCATCAAAATCACAAAACTAAAACCAAAAATGTAAGTAGAGGACCAACAGCTTCTTGAAGAAACATGGACCTTCTCTTCCCTCTCCAGGAGCTAAATGGTAGTTCTCTAAACCACTGAAGGTGGCGATTGACTGACAGCCTGATTGTCTGCAGCCTTGAGAGGAGATCTGGTATTTTGAGATATAGTTCTCCTGAAATTTCTAAACCAAGGGAAATGCCAGGTCCTACAGCCTAAATTTTATATTATACATACACTTTTTTCCTAAGAGCAATCTTACCCAGACTTCACATTTATCTTAGTACAGCATTAACAGATTTTAATGCCAAGTAAGCAATACAGAAGATTGGAGAGGTGGGTTCCAAACCCAGAGGCACACAGCTAATCTACCCTAGCCACCACACTTCACAAGATATATTAGAAGTCCACTGACGCCTACCCTAGCACACACACCACACCTGCTTACCTTCTCCAAGTCACACCAGTCCACAATCCCACAGATTAAAGCAAGTTCCTCTCTGTACACAGTCAGATCAGCTACTACATTATTAAAAACAAACCTCATAAATTAAAGTAGGAACAGTGGCCACTTATTTTTATGTTTGGGGGATATGAAAGAATATTTAATAAGTTTTCAGGAAAATGAGTCTGTGACATCAAATAGCTCTTGTCCAACATTTTAAAAAATACAGGTCAGAGATGAGAATACTTTTTCCCACCCAAATTAGCTCTACTCACTCTTATTTGCAGTACCAGCACAGTATAGTCTGAATTCGGAAATTTAAAACTGCATCAAGATAATTCATGTCAACACATGTATATAAATACACCTTAAAGAATATGATGGAATTAATTTTTGTTTCTGAAGAGAGATGGACTGAGATTGGCTTCAAAAGACACCATCATCTATAACAGAGTCAAACCTCCGAAAAATGAGAACAGAGTCCTATGTTTTTCTATCTTTAAAAAAAAAAAAGCCTCAGGGGCAATGCTAGCCAGCCTCCTAGGGGATGAGTGTTCACTCTGGGAGGCATGGAGCTCAGCATACAACACTGCTGGCATCGCCGGACACGCTGGCAGCAGCTAACTAGGCAGGCAGCAGGACACGGGGCAGCGGTTTGCCGGTGTAACCAGATGGATGTGGTCCCTGTCTTTGAGACTACCTACTGTTAGGATTTTTTAAAATGTCAGATTATTCCTGAGTGTATATCCACAGGGTAAAGTAGGAAAGACTGTTAAGAGAAACTACAGCTTCAGGAGAAATCAGAGTTGTTGACGCCCAATAGAAACCTATTTACTTAAAAGTGCATGTAATTCATTTATATGGTAGCTTGTAAAGGCTCCCTAGCCCTGCATAGTTTTAGAGTGAGTGTGATTCATAGTTATATATATATATGTGTGTGTGTGTGTGTGTGTGTATGTGTGTGTGTGTGTGTACACACACACACACACACACGTAGAAAAGAGGCTCCCAGACATCCTTCACACAAAGGAATGTTCAGGTCTCTTTTCTTCTAAGTGCTACGGCTGTGTGTGTGTATGTGTTTGTAAAAATACAAAGTGAATGCTCAAATAATGTTGAAGTGATTTAAAAACTCAAATACTAATATATTTACATTGGAGAGTAAGAAAAAAAAAACAGTCCTTAGCTCACACATTGCCCTTCCAAGGGAGAGGATCTTAAAAGATCCCATGTGCTCAGTGGTTCAGTAAAATCCTAAACCAGCGTCCCCAGTGGAGTTCAAGTAGGACGTGTAGTGTTTCACTGGGAAAAAAAAAAAAAAAAAAGAAAGAAAGAAAAGGTTTCTTTTCTTTTTTGGTGACAAAGCATTATGCATTCTACAACTTTTTAGGACACCAAAATTCAGACAAACTTTGAAAAACGTTTAAAAGAAAACACAGGCTTACAAACACCAAAATGACATCCGTAAGACTGAAGCCCTTTTGTTTTTTGTTTTTTTTCCCACAGAGAGCAAGACAACTGAAGGCAGCAAGCAGTCATTTCCCATCTCAGCTGGAGAGTCGAAGCTCAGAACCAGAAATCCTGTCGGGCAACCTTTAAGTTACTTCGCTATTTCCACTGCCTTAGGATTCCAAGAAATCCAATGTCTTTGAAACCTCCTCTAGGGCTACGCTAATGCACATGACCAGCACCTGCAGTGATTCTGGCAGCGTCCACACTGTGAACAAAGCTACGGCGTTAGCCCGGGCACAAAAGGCTTTGCTCCTTTCGGTTCTTTACCGAACCAGAAAACTTCAGGATCCTGACTGGACTCTCGCTGGAGGAATGAAGACCAGCTCCCAAGACTTGTTAAGAAAAGAATGGTATTAGATTTATGGAGACTGAGCAGGAAGATTTCTGAACTAAAACAATTACCGAAGAGAGAGGAGCATTTTGATGTGCTGTTCTTTGGAATTTCTATAATTAAAAAATAAGCACAGAACTATTTCATAAGAAAATACATCTCAGTGTGCAGTCCAATGCACGTGGAAACTGGTAGATGAAAGGTAAAATGCAAAAAAGTATGAAAATACGGTTCCTTTAAATGTGGCAATAAAGTTTGACATACTGATATAAAATCAATACAGATAAAATAAATGTACAAGTGCAAAAAAATTCCATCATTTGTAAAGAGGGAAAAAAAAGTGCCAGCTTGCTTGCTCTTAAAAATGCTTCCCCACACAACTGTTCAAACACAAAATAGACAGATGCAGCATTCAAAAGAACCCTCGTAGCATGCCACGTCTCATAAACATGTATATACAAAAACTAGAATAAAATAATGTGAAACTGAGTTAGCTGGCATCGATAAACTGTTCTCTAAGTTGTTGGGTTACATCATAAAATGGGATGTTTCACATCTCAGGCACAGACGACTTGGAGGTTGCTCTCAGAGGGCAGACTTTTTGTAGAGGAAGTCTGGCTTGCTAGGTGACCTCCTTCCCCTGCTTATTGAATCTTCCCTTTCTAAATCAGTATTTTGCTGAGCTCCGCGGCCCAGGGACTCGCTGTCCGCCAGTCTCCTACTGGATCTCTCTTCCGGAGCTTCAGAACTGCATGCAGGATGTGAGGGTCTGTTGGGAGTCAGCCCAAAAGTCAAGTCAGTTTCTACTGCTGTTCGTCCCCTGACGTGGGCTGGACCATTGCCACCATTTTCGGGGGCCGCCAAAGGAAAGTCTGACCGCTGGGGAGGTTGTTCGACGACATCAAGGTGGATAGACTCATTCTTTTGTCTGTGAAGGTGCCCATCAGGGGAAAGTGGATATTCTCTCCTACCTTCTTCCTGCTTTTTAGGAGAGGTCTGGCTAGGTAGGTAGGCTGACTTTAAGCCACTTGGTGATGCCTTATTGTGGCTATACAAATCGGGACCAAAATATCCACCTTGTGAAGGGGAAGGGGTGCGTCTGCCAGGAGCAGGAGTAGAAGGTCTGCAAGCAGCATTTGAGAAGTCATAGAAATCCGGATATTCCTGCTGATTTTCTCGAGCATCTGCTTTTTGCTCTAGTGTGTGTTTCTTTCGAGACGTGTGTGTATGCCTCTGTGGAATACATGACAGATGCTGGGGAGGCCCTGGTCCTACTTCAGAAACTGATTGGCTTAATTCTGTGTCTACAGCCAGTTCTGGAAGCCTCCTGTCCTTGAGTGACAGTGTGGACACACCCATGGCGATGTCTGGCATTAGGTCATTTAGCACAGGTTGTGTACACTGCAAACAAGAGACAAGAGAAGGGAGGGTTAAAAGAAAAAGACCCACGACTCCCTCTGTAAAAATGATGTTCACCAATTTTGGTTCTTCATTATGAAAGTGATACATGCTTATTTTTAAGAATGGTAACACTATAGGGGCCACTGGGTGGCTCAGTATGTTAAGTGTCTGACTCCTGATTTTGGCTCAGGTGGTGATTTCAGGGTTGTGAGACTGAAACCCCTGTCAGGCTCCAAGGGCAGCCCAGAGCCTGCTTGTCTCTCCCTCTACTCTGTTGCTTGCCCCGCTCCCTGCTTGCTCTTGTGCTCTCAAATAAATTAAAAAAAAAAAAAAAGCTTAAGAAACAGTAATATAGGAAACCATAAAAGTAAAAAAACAAAACAAAAACCCACTAATCTTCCCTATGAGATAGTCAATATTAACATTTTGAGATATTTTTCTCATTTTTTCTCTGCTCATATATTAATTTTCATAAAATGTAGTGAATATTAAGCCTGTCAATAAGTTTTGAGATTACTATTTAAATTACAGCATAATATTCCACTGTATTGAGGAGTCATGGGTTATTTAGCCATTCTTCTTCCACTGTTGACATTAAAGTTGTTTCCAATTTCTTATTATTATAACCAATACTGTAATGGGGTGCCTGGCTGGCTCAGTTGGTGGAATGTGTGACTCTTGACCTTGAGGTCCTGAGTTTGAGCCCCACGCTGAATGTAGAGAGTACTTAAAAATCAAATCTTAAAAAAAAAAAAAAAAAGGACTGCAATGAACTTACAAATAAATTACCTTTAAAGGGAATTTTATTTAAAATAAATAGTAGTAGAACTTTTGAAATTGTAAAATCAAGGGCAAGGCCAATAGGGTGGGAATTTGGCTTATCTAACATTATCAATCTCTGTTGTTTCTTCTTTTTTAGAGGGGAGACTGCAGGGAAAGTAGGTAGAAGGGTGTAAGGTAAGGAAGGATCATAATTTGATCTGAAGTGTATACTAGTCCAGTTTCCAAATATTTTAATAAAGATTCCCTGAAGTAATATATGTATCTTTTGTTTTTTTATTGAAGGCCACCGACAATGTGTGTGACTGAGCAGGAAGACTTAAAAATCACTACTTTTTCCCAAAGGTATTATATAAAGAGAAATTGAACCTCTAATACAATGCAAAATTGATCAAGGAATTCTTGCTTAATTTATTAGCTACTAACACTAGCTACTGCGGTTCCCAGTCAAATGAGTGCTCAGATGGAACAGCCTGCCAGAGGCAGACACAGGCATGAGGACTGATTATCTGTCCATTTTCTGAACAGGAGTCTTCCCACATTGCTCCTGACAGTATATACAGCTATAAATAACTTCCCTTTCCCGCCCCATCAAAGCATCTGATAGAAGAATAGATTCTACAGAAGTTAGGGCGGATTCTAGACATGTGCTTGAATGGAGCATCACAAAACTGGTAAGATCCACTGGCACTGCCCTGTGCCACTACCCCTTCTGAGTACCTGCAATGAGCACTAAGACAAAGAAGGTACCAACTACTTCCAACACAAATTCCATCTCTCCCCCTGGCTCTCGCTCTGGTCCACTATCCCTCTCTCTTTCCCTGCAGTCTAGGTTTTTAGCCTGTCAGTAACACTTCTGGGCACTGCCGAGTCCCAATACGGCTCCTAGGGTCAGGGAAATTGCTTCTAATTTTCCACGAACATTTTATTTTAGGTAAATTAGCGAAGTGCTAACTTACCACTTGTTTCTCACATGCTACTGTTGCTGAGGTGGTGGTGGCGGCGGCAGCGGCCACTGTCTGTCTCCCTAGTCCTGTGGTGTTGGTACAATCAGGTGCTGCTGCTTTAACACCTGGCAAGTAGACTGGAGGGGGACCAGCTTTAGGGGCTGTTCTGGAGTGAAACAGTGAATGATTACAGGGGTAAGAGAATGAGCGTGAAGGGTGCTGGCTGGGAGGTCTTTGTTTCCAGCCTGCTTTGAGTTGGTTATGGATTGGGGTGGCTGGGGGGTGGTATGGAGGTGGTGGTGGGGGCAAGGGTGGATGGAAGGCCACAAAAGAGTCCAGATCTGTAAACATGGTTTCTGCAGTGGGGGTGCTGTTAACTCGACATCTCCCAGACTGTCTCATTGTCAAGAGTGGACTTTCGTCCCCGAAGCGTTCATCCGGAAAGAACTTGTGAGGATTCTAAGAAAGATTTAAACAAAGAAACAAATAAACAAAAAGGACATTTATTAGCAAATTTCCTAGATAGAAATTTACAGGCTGAGAGCGTTAAATGAGATCCTGCATTAGGTGTAGAGATTACTTAAAAATAAAATCTTGAAAAAAAAAAAGATGGCAATAAACATACATTTGGCAAGAGAAAAAGGCACAACATATTTCTCTAGGCCAGAAGCCCAAGGAAAAATTAATAACAGCACAAAAGGATACAGCAGAGTCTCTGCAGCCTAAGACAGAGCTATCAAGGAGAGAATGTTTAACTAAATATTCCAGCAAGCAGGTCAGTAATCCCTTGCAAGATTATGTGATAATGCAAAAGTAGGAAATAAAACTTAATTCAAATATGTCTTTGCTGAGAAAATAAAATTAAATACCAAAGGAAAAAAAGGCATACAAGTGAGGATCTTCCTAGAATTTTCTGACAAAGCATCGCGCTCTGTCTGAAATAAAACCTATAAAATACTAATCCTTACCTGTTTATTACATATCACTCAGTTTGATTAGTATTTTGATAAAAACTATATAGTAATTAACTTATAAAACTTTTATACAATTTAAGATATCAAGTTAAGATACAATTTAGAATGGCGAAGGCTTGAAAGAAAGGAATAGGAAACAAGACTCTATTTCAGGGATGGAAACCATGGTAAAAAATAAAAATCAAGAATGGCCTGCTGCCCTGCCTAGAAACACCACACTACATTCCTCTTTGAAAACTCAGGCTAAATAAGTCTGGAGTCAGTGGCAAAAAAAAAAAAAAAAAAAAAAAAATTCAATCACTTAACCAGACAAAATTAAATTTTATTTTAGGCTCTGATTTAGCGACTGTGAACAGACTACTTTACACGTTCTTTCTTCATTGCAAAACTGACGCTACTGCTTTTGTACTTGGTAAGAAATTAGGTTATTTCCCCCTGCTTATTAAAAAAAAAAATCATTCCTTGATTCTCATGCCTACAGGATTTGTAACTTCATGCAAAAACATTTTTATTACATTTTATTACATGGAGGAGGAGAGAGGAAGAAGAAGGGCACCTGGCCCTTCTGGTAGTTAAGTCTGGTAGTAGGCCACTAACTGAAACCTAGAGACCTAGGTTAAGTCTCTTAATACTCTGTTAAGTCTGGTAGTAGGCCACAAACTGAAACCTAGAGACCCAATGGGGGACAGAGAGCAGTGGAGGGTCAGAATTTCCTACTTCTTTTTTCACCTTTGATGAGGATGCATGCTATTAACTTTTAGCAAGCCTATTAGGCACCGGAGACACAGTTGCTTACATACAGCACCTCTTATCTTCACAACACCCACTCTACTGGTGAGGAAACTGATATTCAGAGTGCTTATGTGGTTAGCCCCAGTTAACTAACTAATTGATAAGCAGCAGAGCCAAGATATAAATTCAGCTCTCCCTCCAAAGCCTGTGTGCTCCATCTCCATCCACTCTACACACCGCCTCTACCTGGGAGGCGGTGGTTGGGAGTGGGGGTGGGGGTACAGAGGACGACTTCCAGGCTATCACAGACCCTCAAGGCAGTGAAAGGGCATGCGCTAAGAAACAGATGCACATGCTGTGAGGGCTCCTTAAGATGTCTGAACTACTGTCTGCACAATGATCAAGGTTCCCTATCACACATTGTCAAAAGCCATCCCACCTGTAAGAGCTCAGCAGCAGCGTCTGCAAGACCAAATTCTCTTAACACTCGAATCTGTATCTCATAGCTGACCGTGGCACCTTCTCCACAGTTGAGTGCGTAGGCTCTCTGCACCTGCTCAGTATGCCGTAGTTCCTGCAGACGCCTGACCATGTCTTTCATAATGAGGAGACGAGGAACTGAAAAAAGAAAAAGTTGGTAGGCAAAATATCTGAGCTGCATGAAAACCCACCCACTGAGCATGAGAAAGAAAGCATGTGTTCTGCTTAGAGTCTTCTTAAATATTTGGTGACAGCCTTTTAATTTCCTGGAAACATAGTAACTTATATGCTGCCTAGAGAAGGCGGACCCTGAATGGAGTCTCGAAAAATGAGAGAAAACCAGTCAGGTAAAGTAGCATGAAGGCATGTGTCTCAAGCAGAAGGACCAGGTGACAGACAAACAGGCAGGTGACAGACAGCATGGCATGAGCAGCTGGTACCACTAGTAGAACTTAGGGTTCAAAGGTACAAGCAGGAAGAGTATTAAGAGAAGGCGAGACAGATAGGTAGGAGCAGATCACAAATGACCCAGCATATCATAAGGAATTTACATCCTGGAGGTTGAACCAAGCCTGCGGCCTAGTTTGTAAATAAAGTTTTACTGGCACACAGCTACATCCACTCGTTCAGGCAGTGTCTGTGGCTGCTTCTGATGGCAGAGTTGAGTAGCTTCGATGGAGACTGCAGAGCCCACAAAGCCTAAAATATCTACCAAGTGGCCCTACCAGAAAATGTCTGCTGAGTCCTGGTGTAAAAGCCAGAGTGGGAGTAAGGTTAGAGGCAGGAAGAGCAGTTAGGAACCTAGACTAAGGCTGTAACAGGGGGCTGAGGAATAGGGGACACAGTCTACAAATATCTAAGAGACAAACTGACCAGACTGGCCACCGGCTCTTTTTTCTGGGGAAAGGCAAGCTACCACTTACTGAGTGCTTACTCTGTGCCAGGCAAACTCCTAAGCATCTTAACTCACAGTGCTTCCTCAAATCTTCATAACAACCCTAGAAAGGAGATATATCCATTTCGTAGACAAGGAAATTAATGCTCTGGGAAGTTATCTTGTCAAAAGTCACACAAATAAAGTGGCAGAGCCAGAATATGAGCCCATGAGTCTTCTCCAAGAGGCTATATTGTCTTCTTTAGAGTGAGGTGGGCAAGGAAGAGAGAAGAATCAGAGAACACCAGAATAGGACCGGGTCTTGTTAAATAAGACAACAAAGCCAAGTCTTCTTGTGAACATCTCTGGGCTTTTTAGATTCAGTTCTAAGATTAAATTATGCTGCTATTCAATTGTATTAACTCAAGCTGATAAAAACCGGGCTAGTGACCATAGCTTCAATATCTGCACAAATCAGCTATTAGTGATATTTCTCTTCTGTTGTCCAATGTATACTTTAAATAAATGATTGTCAGTGTTTTGTCAGTAGTGGCCAAATCTGATAAGGCCAACAACTGAACAGACATTAGTCCCAGAATAAAATATATGTGTTCAATTAAAAGTTGTTATTCTTCTATTTGTCCTTAATTGAAACAGACATTTATAAGCAGAAAATGAATGATACCATTTCTAATAATGCTATAGTTTGCTGATGTTTTTGAATCTTCCAGTGGTAATCGGCAAGAGCTATAAATTTCTGACCCCCAGATCACTGCGGATTTTCTTACCTTAAAAACTAACACTAGAGCCCTTTGGTTAAAATCAACATTAACTGATGCTCAGAAATTTTTGGGTGTAACAGTTATGTATCTCTATCTATGGTCACTTTTCTCAAAGTCATGACATAAGCCTGTATGTACTACAACAGAATTCACAGAGCAGATCCTGGGAGGCTGAATGGATCTCTAGGAAACCAACAGTGATCACATTTGGGGGCACAAGCCTAGACTCAAATATACAAGTTTATAACTCTCCTCAAAGAGTATTATGTGAGCAATGGCTTATGGATATGAAAAATCTGAATTCCTCTGAACTAGTGGTTCCCAACCGGAAGTGATTTTACCCCACACAGCATATTTAGCAAGGTCTAGAAACAGAAAAATGTTTCCAAAAAGTTGTCATAAAGGATGTGTGTGCATGTGTTTTTGCACACACATGCTACTGGCATCTAGTGAGTATAGGCCAGGGATGCTGCTGAACTCTCTACAGTGTGCAGGACAGCCCCTTCAACAAAGAATTATGTCAAGATGGCATGGTTGAGAAATCCTGGGCTAACCAGAAAACCTGTACATACTTGTTACAGGAAAATAAAATATGAAACAAATACCCTAGCTTATTAAGTATTAATTATTTAATTAGAACAATGCATAATGGGTATTGGAAAGCAGAGAGAATTAGCACATGTAAAAAGGCTACAAAAATGATCAGATTAATCATTTAAATATAAATGCCTGACACAAAGCTACTGCCTCACCTGGAATTTCATTGGCTACAACTGAAGGAGGGCTTGACTGGTGACTGCTGATCTGCTGGTGGCTCATCATGTGACAGCACTGTGGTACAGCGGTATTGACCATGTAAAGTGTGTCTGGCACATTGGACATTCTAACCATTCGCAAACGCACAAGATCTGTTTGCTCAACCATCATCTCGTCCAGCACTGACTGAAATAACAATTCAGTATTAAGAGAATCCATCAACTCATCTCTGGAAATCATGTTTGGAGAAAGATTATAACCTTTATCATATAAAAAAGGAACTAGTTTATTGTTTTCAGTGTATGAAGTGAAAGGAGAAAGAACCCCTACTTCTTTAATTTTTAAAGAATCTTTCTGTATCATCTTTGAAAAGAAGTAATCATCTTCTGGTTGTTTGCTTTTAATTAAAGTATTCAAAATTTGAAGGAAGGTATAAAATTATTCAGAAGTAAATTATACCTAAAGTTACTAGAAGGAAAACAATCTATACATTGGCTAAGTATCAGATCCAACATGAAATGGTCAAAACACAAAATACTGAAGATCAATTTTAAATTCAACAGACCTATATAAACCCAACTGTTTAGTGTCAGATGAAATCTCAACAAACTGCAGAGTGGCCAAAATGATGTAATGTATAAACCTCTTCCACATTTTCTGAGGGCAATTACCTACTGATGTGTGGGTTCAGCTGTCGGGGAACAGGAAGTCCCAGAAGGACTATGTGATTAGTTCCCCTCTGCCCCACTCTGAGACAGAGGAGAATGCAGGGTCATTTCTTACAGACCTTTGTTTACCATATACAACCTCTGCTAAAGGCCTCTGCTACTTGCATGCTGTTAAGCACTGAACTTATTTCCAAAAAACCAGACCCAAACATTTAGTTTTTTTTCCTATTTTGGACTATTTATATTGTCAATCACTAGAGGTAGATTATCCACCTAGCCAATAAAATTAACTTCTCACAAATCCTTTTACATAACTTAAGCTAGGAGGAGCTCTAAACATCAAAATGAGAAAAAAATTAAGGTAACTTCATTCTATATCCAAACACAACATTTTGCCTGTTAATTTGTTTCACAAAGCTTAAGGGTGATTTCTGACTTTCAAAGAGTTCCTCAAAAGTACATTGCAAAGTTCTAATGGCCAAATATAGCTAATAAATATCACAGTATTCCATTTTTACATTACCACATTTTCTTGGAGTTCTTCATATTATGGTACACAATTTACTTAATAAGCCTGAAATTTTCTCTTAGTTTTGTGCACTTATTCTAAAACTAAATAAAATTTCCAACAGTCAGCCACTACAGAAACACATTACAAGAAATCATGTCATTTCTTTAGTTTAATAAAGACAAAATGTGTGTAATCTTCTTTTAGAACATTTCCATCTTGAAGATCACAATATACTGATAATAATTTCAGTTAAATTAATTTTTTCCAAATTAACAATTTGCAATGCAACTAAGATGAGAAAAATGTAAAATGCAATTCAACATGACCTAAGTTATAAAAACATGCTTGATAATTAAACATTTCAGAAAACTATTCTCATGAGTAGTCACACTAGAGTTTATTTTACTTTCCCTATTATTGGATATTTAGGTGACTTCTATATACTTTTACAATACCACAATGAGTATTTTTGTGCTTATAGTTCATAAAATGTATTCCAATATCTTAAAATGGTTTTCATTACCTTTGCTTCCTCCACATAGGGAGAGAATAGTCGAGGACGAACATATATTCCAGCATTTTTTTGCCGTAACCAAGCATTGGACTTTCCACCTTCTGTTGTAGGAAGCATATCTGATGGAGGAGTACTAATCAAGCCTCTTTTCATCTTGAAAAAAAAATTTTTTTAGATGAACTAATGATTTATGTTGACCTAGAATACTAAGATGAAAAATAATTACACCTATAAATCATGAAAACTTAGGAATATAAACGAAATTTCAAAATACTCCAAATGTTTGAGATTATTTAAAAGACTCAGCAATAAAGAGGTACTACAATATACCCCTTTTCTTTATATAGAGGAATGATGTTTTTATTTTTTTTTAAGTTTTTTTTAAATTTTTATTTATTTATGATAGAGAGAGAGAGAGAGAGAGAGAGAGAGAGAGAGAGGCAGAGACATAGGCAGAGGGAAAAGCAGGCTCCATGCACCGGGAGCCTGACGTGGGATTCGATCCCCGGTCTCCAGGATCATGCCCTCGGCCAAAGGCAGGCGCTAAACCGCTGCGCCACCCAGGGATCCCCAGGAATGATGTTTTTAAAACAAGAGCTATAGTAATTAAAAATATAATTTTTATGTAGACCTAGAGTACTAAGATGAAAAATAATTACACCTATAAGTCATGAAAACTTAGGAATATAAACGAAATTTCAAAATACTCCAAATGTTTGAGATTATTTAAAAGACTCAGCAATAAAGAGGTACTACAATATACCACTTTTCTTTATATAGAGGAATGATGTTTTTATTTTTTTTAAAGTTTCAGAACTTTAAATGAAAGCCAATTTCTACCTTTTTTTACTTACTCATCTAGAGGATTCCATACCCATTCCACCCCCCCCCCCCCAAGACAAAACAGGAACACTTCTTGGGCCTGTATCTACAATACAAGGATGCACGTGGTCTGCCTGGTGGTTAAGGGAAAGGAGCTCTTGGGGAGGCAGATTGGACACAAATCTCAAACTCCCCATTTAAGAGGTGCATGACCATGGATATGTCCTTTTAGGCTAGACCTGACTTTAAAGGGCTCCCATATGGCCCTGGAGATGGGATGACTAAATGTGGTGACTGCATGCATGACTGCATGCATAAATGTGGTGGCCCTGTTGTTTCCTCGTGTATGCTAGGAGAAAATAAATCAAATACCTACAGCTCCTAAAGTGGTTGTGAGGATAAATGACAGTAATGCATAGTGCTTAGCACACACTAGGAGTGTTTTATGCTTAACAGCCATTATTAGCAAACTTTCACCAGGGACTTTTGTGTGAAGCACAGAATTAAGAATAGAGATATGTATTTTCTAAGTCTACTAAACAAAGTTCTAAATTATTTTTCTAAACCAAATTCAGGGTTCAATTTGGCTTGTGTCCCATGTTTTAAACAAAACCAAACATTGTACAACAAACAGGCAAAACAAAAACTAAACATTTTTTTAAAAGATTTTATTTATTTATTCATAGAGACAGAGAGAGAGAGAGAGAGAGAGAGACAGAGAGACAGAGACAGGCAGAGGGAGAAGCAGGCTCCATGCAGAGAGCCTGATGTGGGACTCGATCCAGGGTCTCTGGGATCACGCCCTGGGCTGCAGGTGGCTAAACCGCTGCGCCACCGGGGCTGCCCTCAACATTGTTTTGTGTCTAATATTACTCTTGTTAATTCTTCCATTAGTTAAAATTGTTTTTAACTAATAAAATACAGCATTAGATAGTATTAAAAGCAGAAAAGCTCATAACTCTAACCTACTCTAACTGTAATAATGCTGATATATTTCCTGTCAGTCTTTTTCAATGGATTTTTACATAACTGAATTCTAGAATACATAAAAATAGATTAGTTTGTATTATTCTTTCTGAAATTATGTTCTATCATTAGCATTTTTCATTGTTGCTATATTAGTCTTAGGGCAGCAAAATATTCTGAGTAGTGTACTACAGTTTACTTTTATTTTTTCTGTTATTAAACATTCGAGCAGTTTCCAAATATTTAAGGATATGCTACTAATGTACCAGCTATACTTCCCCTATGGGATGGTAATATTATTTCAAAATATACTGACTTGGGGCGCCTGGGTGGCTCAGATGGTTAAGTGTCTGCCTTCGACTGAGGTCATGATCCCAGGGTCCTGGGATCAAGCCCTATGTCAGGCTCCTGCTCGGCTTCTCCCTTTCCCTCTGCTCCCTCACCCAGCTCTCTCTCACTGTCTTGTTCTATCTCAAATAAATAAATAAAATCTTGGAAAAAAGAGATAATTCCTACTAAAATAAAAACAGTGATTTAATAGGTGAAAAAAATGGTAACCTATGGTTTTACTTTGCCTTCTTTGGTGTGTATGATTACTAGTGAGACTGAAACTTTTTTCTAATTAGAAATATAAATATTTAATTATTTTCTTCTAGTTTTCCCATGTTTCAATTTAATATTTAATTCTGCAATCTAATAACAATTAATTTTGTGTGCAAGTGAAATGAGGGTTTAACTTTAAACAAATTCCCCCCAGCTCACCATCTAGTCTAGCACAATGATTCACTGATTTCTGATAGATTATGATGTTTAATTCTTATATATTAATGAGGAATTTTTTTTTAATGAGGATTTTTTTTTTTCTGAGCTATTTGGTCTTGTCTGTTTTGCTAGCATCACAGATCAGAATTTTTTTTGTTTGTTTCTGTTTTTGTTTTTTAAAGCTCTAAGCCCAATGTGGGCCCTGAACTCACAACCCTGACATCAAGAGTTATGTGCTTTACCAACTGAGCCAGACAGGCATCCCTGGAGTTTTTAAATTTTATTTACTTATTTATTATTATTATTATTATTCATGAGAGACCCACATAGAGAGAGAGAAGCAGAGACACAGGCAGAGGGAGAAGCAGGCCCCATGCAGGGAGCCCAACGTGGGACTCCATCCCGGGTCTCCAGGATCACACCCCGGGCCGAAGGCAACGCTAAACCGCTGAGCCACCCAGGCTGCCCCATCCCTAGAGTTTTAAAATATATTTTAAATTCTGGAATAGTTATCCTTCCTTCATTATATTCGCTTTACAGAACTTAAAAAAAATTCTTATCAAAAAAACAAATGAATATGGAAGAGGGAGGAAGGAAAACCAAAAAACAAACTCTTAGCAGAGAACAAAGTGAAGCTAACCAGACAGGAGGTAGAAGGGGGAGAGGGGAAACAGGTGATGGGGGTTAAGAAGGGCACTTGTTGTGATGAGCACCGGGTGTTGTATATAAGTGATGAATCATGAAATTCCTCACCAGAAACAAATATTACACTGTATGATAACTAACTGGAATTTCAACAAAAACTTGGAAAGAAAATAAATAAATGAAACGTCGCATGCAATGAAAAAAAAATTCTTGTCAGTTTTTTTCCAGATGATTTTTATGTTTCTGAGCAGCTGAAAAAACTGTCTATAAGCATTGCAATAAAGTTATAGATCAATGTGTGAAGAAGTAATATTTATAATACTTATTTTTCACATCCATTAATTCAAGCAATTCTATTAGTTTAAGAAATTCACTTTAAAAAAGCAATGAAAGTAATATGATCAGCTCCATTAATTTTTAACTGAAATACGATCATAAGATCCAGTCATCCCTTTCACACTGAACCCTTCTCTTCTCCCTGATTTACTTCTGTGTTTGAAAAGTCTCCAGAGGTAATTTCTACCCTTTTCGTTGTGAACAGGATCTACTTGATCTACACTGATAAATGGCTGAAGTAACTCCTCCTACACTATCTTTTGCAAAAGTAAGATGGCTCTACTTAACTCTCATTCACCAAGCATTTATTTGTGCCATTGGCCAACATGAGGGACACAATATGGTACAAAACACACATCTGTCTCTGTTCTCATGGACTTTGTGGATTCACAATACTTTATTAGTAGAAATTACGTAAAATGATAAAAAAAAGAAGTCTTTACATTTTGGCACATTTTCTTTTCATGAAAGAGATAAATGAACAAATGTACTTACCGCATCACTTAGGACTTCACTGTTTATAGGTAAGATATGTTCAATTCGCACAAAAGGTAAGAGAGAAGAAAGTATCTCTCTAAGCTCTTCGATGTCTAGGTCTCGTCTTTTTACGCCTCTTCTGTTTACACTATGGGCAGTGCCACTTAGTAAGTTTGGCTCTATGAGACAGAAAACGAAAAGTCTCCTACCAAATCCAAATTTTTACATTTTTTTCTCTAGTACACTTTTGGTAACATGCTTTATACTTAAGTGCATCTGCTTTAAAAAGGATTATAAATTACTTTTGTGTCTTAAATTTTCTTAATAGAGATGTTCTTCTACAAAGATAAAGCATGATGTCAACAGTATAACTTTTTTTTTTATTGTTTTGCACTAAAGAATAAGAAGAATTCTTTTCCACATACTAACACAAAGGAGAAAAGATGACAATCTATTAAAATCTAGTTTGACCAAGGGCTTTTTCTTAAGCTTTTACACTGCTGTGACCAGTTTTTAGTACAATTAAGGGCATTCTATGGCAAATGCTATTTCCGGTAACTGGGTTATCAGGATACTGATTAGGCTACCATATGTTTACCAGTAATTTAATAAAATACCAATTACCTGGTATCTAAAGTAGCAAACCTGAGCACCCGGGTGGCTCAGTCAGTTGAGCATCTGCCTTCGGCTCAGGTCATGATCCCAGGGTCCTCCATATAGAGCTCCCTGCTCAGCAGGGAGTCTATGCTTCTCCATACCCTGCCACCCTCACTCCCCCTGCTTGTGCACTTTTGCTCTCTCTCTCAAATAAATAAAATCTTTTTTTTTTAAAGTGAAATCTAATGTGCACTGTATTTAACTTTGATTTTTATGATAGTCTCCTAAATCTCCCTAATATGGGAATGTTACCGCATAAAAGTGAACACTTTGATCTCTGACACAAAATATATTCCCACTGTCCAGAGCAGAGAGTAAAGGTTTTCTTCATTAGGTATCAATGAAAGAAGAAGATCTTAAGTATATATAAGCTTACAAAATTGAGTGGAAAACAAAAATTACTAAAATTTTGGGAATCTTTAATTATATCTATAATCTAGTGGTTATATATTTTTTCTTTAAAAAGTAGGATCCTTATCATTCCCAAATATAAGTGCTGTATTTTTTGCAAACACTCTATGGGCAAACAAGTATTTCCCTTAAATCATGTGATAGATATATGGATAGAGAGATAAGAAATAATTGTTTTTGAGAAGCTAAGCTTCTTCTGGCATCATTCAATATAAAATTGTTGCAAGCATGTGGAAAAGGGTTTTTTTTCCTTGCCTTGCTATGATTTGGCTTCATACTTATTATACAAAGCACTGCTTTTCGAAAAAAAAATTTTCCCCCCCTTAAAATAGTGGCATCCTGTTTTCATATGAAATCTTACATGAAACTCCCAAGTAAGTAATGGGTAAGGGCAGAGCCTTATACAGAAAGGAAGCTGAAAAGAGCTGCCTGGTATGCTCAGGTTCCTGCTCATTCCTGGAAGAGCCTTCTGCTCCAACCCCATCGGGAAACTACTATTTAAGGGAAATCTTATCAAGGATGCTCATTATCTGCTCAAAATAAATATGGCATTTTATCATGTTCACCAGTGAACAAGCCTATGGCCTACAATGATTATGCAGCATCATATACAATTAATTCTTGTTGTTGGAGGAATCCTGTTCTATAAAGTCACCATCAACAATCAGCAAACACTTAACCACTGCTCCTAATGGAAACACAGGGTGAGATTCCTATAAGCCTCTGGTTCCAGTTTTATTACCTGGTCAAGACAAAACGTTGTTTTAGGTGTGTTTCTGTTTAAAGACACCTTATTACTATATATTGTTGATTTGCCCTCGCAGTCAACAAACACTTCCACTCATATCTGAATGAAGCTGAATTTAACTCCTAGTTTCTCTGTGAAGGGACATCACAGCCTTCCTGTGCCTGGAAACACCATACAGCACTAAAAGTTATAATGGGAGGCCAGCTGGATCAGTGAGGTCACCAAAAACAACACCCACCCATAAAATATGAAAAACTTGGCACTGAATGGAATGAAAAGGACACTTGTTTGCAGTATGAGAAGTGAAATGAGAAGGCAGAGCAGCACCCTGTTCCACCTGAAGCTGGGAATACGTGCATCAGGGGACTCCACTGTTTTGTCACTCTGACCATGTCTGTAGTTGATCATGAAAGTGTTGTGAGTACTGGTTTTGGGGTTATAAATAAATTTTAGCAGGTAGATGAATTTGCAAATACAGAGTCTGCAAGTAAAGACAGATGGTATACTGGCATTTCAAAAAGACCTAAATTAAAACTAGTGGCTTTAATATTCAACACAATTCTATTTGTTTTTTTAAGATTTTATTTATTTATTAGAGACACAGAAAGAGAGAGAGAGAGAGATTGGGAGAGAGAGGCAGAAACACAAACAGAGGGAGAAGTAGGCTCCATGCAGGGAGCCTGACGTGGGACTCGATCCTGGGTCCCCAGGATCACACTCCAGGCCGAAGGCAGGCGCTAAACCGCTGAGCCACTGGGGCTGCCCTTCAACACAATTCTTATCTGAGAATTACTAAAAGGCTTTTGCAGGCCATAGAGAAATAAATTAGTAGGAGAAATTAGAGGTTTTGAAAGTCAGATTTAGCTTGAAATTTTTATGTATTTTAAAACATGACAGACAAACCCTATAAATGCACTAAAAATTTATCATTGACCTAAACACTTTTTTTTAAAGATTTTATTTATTTATTTGACAGAAAGAGAGTTAAGCATAAACAGGAGGAGTAGCAGAGGGAAAGGGAGAAGCAGGCTCTCTGAGCAAGGAGCCCAATGTGGGGCCTAATCCCTGAGTCAAAAGCTTAACCAACTTAGCCACCCAGGTGTCCCAACTTGAACACTTTATAAATAGGTGAACTTCACGGTATTAGAAGTATATCTAAAAAAAGCCATCAAGAAATGACAGGCAACAGAAATCTCTATTTAATTTTTCTAGTTAAAATGTTTCGAAAGGAAATGTTTTGATTTGGATTTGCTATATAGAGGCATACAAACATTCTGAGGGAAGGAGCATGCGTGCGATGTTTCTACCTCTTCTGCAGTATCCCCAGTTGGAAGCCATCCAAAGGCATTATTTTTCCTTTACCTTCCACAAAAAAATTTCCTTTAAAGATTTTATTTATTTATTCATGAGACACACACACAAACACAGAGGCAGAAACACAGGCAGTGGGAGAAGCAGGCCCTGCAAGGAGCCCGATGCAGGACTGTATCCCAGACCCCAGGATCAGGCACTGAGTCAAAGGCAGACACTCAACCGCTGAGCCACTCAGGTGTCCCTACCTTCCACAAAATTTAAAAATAAACAAGCATGCTTTTTGGGCCGGGGTGGGAGGTGGGGAGATCAGTCATACATTTTTTAATTGAGGTAAAGTTAGCATAAACCTCACCATTTTAACCATTTTAAAGTATACAATTCAGTCAGTAGTTTTTAGTATATTTAAAATGTTATACACACATTACTAATTCCTAAACATTTCCATCAGCAATATGCTTTTGTAATACTTTAATCATTAAATGAAATTTTTCACTCTAATACTTCTATAAATCAGTAAACATTTCTTATTAGCACATAGATAACATTAAAAGTACAGTTTTAAAATTGTAAAATAAAATTTTCTGGTATATTTGTTTCTAATAAAGTATACCCTTCTCCACTAAAGGATTTTACATATCATAAAAATTTCTATTTCCAGCAGGTAATAGTGGCTACTGTCAAGACTGACACATAGCATGCCTCTGAATAAAAAAACTTACAGTATAAACTAATTTTGTAAGCTTACCTCTGTCAGCTATTCTTTTCATCAATTGATGCTCACCCCATTTAATCAGATATTTAAGGATATCTTGTTCACTTGCCTAGAATAAAAAATGATTTATATTCATTTTAGTGAAATTAGACAAATGGCAAATTTCATTAATGACTTGCTAGGTCGTAATGTACACACAGTATGCAACTTACCACATTTCATGCTACACTGGCTGTTTGAAATGTTCCACTAAAGCTGAGGTCCACCAGCAGCAAACACACAATTGCTTTGCATGTGTTTTGTCCAGTAACTTACCTCTTGGCTCCAACTCAATTTTTTATTCTTGCTTTCATCTTTATTTTTTCTTTATCCTATTCTCTTCACCTATTTTAAACTTATTTTATTCTACTATATGGTCTCTATACAGCTGCCTTAAATTCTTCTTGGGATAGGAAGAGATGAATAGATGAAAGTAAATGTATATAGATACCAAGTGATTCTGTTGCAAGAACAGAAAATACAGATACAGAGACTTGTTTTGACAGAGAAACTACAATCTGCACAAGGTATGCTACTGACTGGTGAGGGCCCTTCAAGGAGTCTGTGAAATGGCAAGGTGCCCCTCAATTCTTTGTACTTTACTGAAAATCTTAGAGCAAATTTAGGCTGCTGTCCAAGGTTTTTACTTTCTAAATAGAAATGCAAAACTTTCTAAAGACAATAATCTGAGAGAACTGACAAATCCTAATCCCCATAATGCATGCAGTCTGGATCAGGACAATGAAACGAGGTTAATAAACACAGATCCTAAATAAATCAAATCCAATTACGACATCATTTGTATTGCAATCAAAGCACAGATGCTACACTGATTATTTAACTTGTCACTTTTTAAAAATTTTATTTATTTATTCATGACAGACACAAAGAGAGAGAGAGAGAGAGAGAGAGGCAGAGACACAGGCAGAGGGAGAAGCAGGCTCCATGTAGGGAGCCCAACGTGACTCGATCCCGGGACTCCAGGATCACGCCCTGGGCCAAAGGCGGGCACTGAACCAATGAGCCACAGGGATCCCCACGTCACTGAATTTCTAACTGGGATGGAAGCATTTTATAATTTTCCTAGTATAAATATAAAGAAATAGGTAATGGCTCAGTAGGTTTATATTTTTATAACATTAAAACTGTTGTATAGTTTTCAGCATAAAATTCGTATAACAATGCCAAAAAAATTAAACTTGAACATATGTTACTTCAAAGTATTTTTTGCAATATTTTAAATCTATTGTTAGTTTAAGTTACCAAATTATATTGACATATAAGTCAATGACAGAAGAATTTGCTAAAAACTACTTCTGATTAAAAATAAGTAGTTCAAAACATTACTGTATTTTGGTAAGACACATACACTAAATTTTTATAAGCATTTGAGTAGTCAGAAATTGAATACTACTCTTACTTTGTGCTGCGTAAGCTACTGTCTACAGTCCAAGTACCTGATACTTCATCAAAAACAAGAAAGTGTGATAATGAATTGATGGAAGTCAAGAAAATCATTGTTGGGATATGCTTCTGACCTCGCTTACTGCCTCAACCCCATTGGTGTATAGTTGGTTGAGACCAGAACTTGTTCACAGTGCTGAGTCAGAGCAGCAAGTGCACAAAGGGCCAGAGAGCCAGAAGGCTTTTCCTGTACAAATCTGAAAAGGGCATACCTGGCTGGGCTGATCTCCCTAGATGGTAGAATAACAGAGTATAGATGGGTTTCCTGGTGAACACATGGATGACAATTACTTTGACAAGTATATATAAATGATTACCTGTAGGTAGTCAGACTGGATAGCAGTGAGCAGATGGTCTTTGCTGAGTTCATAAAAAACATCCGAAGTCATGACCTGGGAAAACTCCTCACAGAGGAAATGTAAAGCTTGTCGGTGTACCCATTTAGAGCCATATGGATGAGAGCTCCACTTGAGGATGGCAATTAAGGTATCTAATGAGATGCTCTCAGCAATGATATCCTCACAGCCTAAAAGAGAAGGCAAAAACTTCTTGAGATTAATCATAAATATTCCTTATTGAACATTAGTATGTTAGACACTATATTTAAAAGTAGCAATAGTAAAAAAAAGAACAAGGAGATAAATAAAATTTCAAGAGAAATTACCAAGACCTGGTAGGATGGGGTAACAACAGGTAACAATAGACTATGACATCTATAGGAAATCTGCTGTCCAGTAAAGACAGATCCATAGAAAGAGGCAGAGAATCCTCCTAATTGTTTAAGAAAATCAGTATCTATGTGCAAATCCAACAACCTAAAGTAAGACACTACAGCAGAGAGGACTGGATCATAAGGGAAAGAAGAGAAGGGAAAACTGACACAGTTGTGGGAATTGGCCAGAGAATGGGTACAGATGACACCTGACGGATAGAGAATCCGTCTCTATCCGGATAGAGAAGACAAGTAGGCTATCTTCTATGAACTAGGAGAATATATGTTCTAATAAAACAACAATTTGCATTGTTGATAGCTTAATATCTCAGAATAGAGACAATATAGTTTTATGCTCATCTGAGATGAATTCTGGTGGATTTAAAAGAAATAAGTAGTTTAAGGAAAAGAACCAGGCTTCTGGAGAAAGTGATTATGACACTGTAAGGGCTCAAAAAAGTGAAGATAACCTGAGGATAGTCAACTATTTTCCTTAGGAGAGATCATTTCAAAATATAAAGATAAAAAATGTAAAATCTGAGTGATAAAAACTGTGGAAGGGAAAATGATTGAAGTTGGACTGAAATTCTTTATAATTGTTTAAAAGAAACCCTGACAATTCGGGGGAGAAAAAAGAGGCACTGACCACTAAAGAGGCTGCTCTCTAATGAGCTCACAGCTTTGAAAGATACAGCCAAAATAAAGAACATCAATGAACTCCAGAGACTTGCAAAGTTCAATGTTACTGTGAAACCATGAAAGGCAAAAAGTGAAAGGTAATGACTGATTACCCTTTTTTCAGGTGACATGAGATCATTAGCAGACAATACAGGGTACAAGAAGTCATGCTTCATTCTCTTTTCTGATACAGTACCAGATAACCAGACTATTATAGAGAATGGTGTAACCTGACTTCTGCAAAGCATTTAACAAAATACTTTATGAAGTCTCTAGAAGACAGGGTTGCTGTCTTCACTGTATGTCTAGCACCTTCTTGCACATGGGAGGTGCTACATAAAAATTTGTTGAGTGTGCAAACGAGATCTTTGCAGATAAGATAAAGAGCAGTATATGGGTGACAGAACAGTGGTTACCGGAACCATTTGTAAGTAGCACTGATTAACCTGGGGGATGGGAATGGGGAGTCTCTGTTTTTGTGATGTTAATCAAGAACTTGAATGAAGATGGGGAAAATATGCTTCAAAATCTCTAGATGATAGGCAGCTCCGGTGGCACAGCGGTTTAGCTCCGCCTGCAGCCCGGGGTGTGATCCTGGAGACCTGGGATCGAGTCCCACGTCAGGCTCCCTGCATAGAGCCTGGTTCTCCCTCTGCCTGTGTCTCTGTCTTTCTCTCTCTCTCTCTGTGTCTCTATGAATAAATAAATAAATAAATCTTTAAAAAAAAAACCTCCAGATGAGGGGATCCCTGGGTGGCTCAGCAGTTTAGCGCCTGCCTTCGGCCCAGAGCGTAACCGTGAAGCTCTAGGATCGAGTCCCACTTTGGGCTCCCTGCATGGAGCCTGCTTCTCCCTCTGCCTGTGTCTCTCATGAATAAATAAAATCTTAAAAAAAAAATCTTCAGATGATCTAAAACTGGGAAACACTGGATGACAGGATCAAAACCGGCTAAACAGATGGGTCAAAATGAAGGTGAAATAGAACCAGAAAAATTAGGAAGTTCTATATATTAGTGAAAGAAAATCAACGGCACAAAAGATGATAGGAGAGCTACCTCAGCCATAACCCATGCTGAATGGGTACAAACTGTGATATGGCTGCTGTAGAGCTGAAACAAGCTCAAGCTTTTATGATTAAAAGCAGAGTCCTAATCAATGGAACAATGTCACACTGCTGTCATGTGGGGTGCTGTGTTCTGTTCCAGGCCCTATGTTTTAGATGGGGCACTGACACACGCAGGATTTTTCAGAGGAGGGCAAAAGAACAGTAGAGAGTTTGAGAACTGTAACAGGAGAAGCGCTCTGAGCAACCAAGATTACTAGGCTTACGGAAGAGAAACCTGAGGGGAGACCACAGGCCGCTATCTTTAAATGTCTGACAGACCTTCATGAGGCAGAGGAGAAATGACAGACTTCCCTGCTGTTCCAAGGGCAGGTCCTGGATGTTAAATGGATCTTGGAAGAAGGGAGATATTGCCTCAATATTAAGAAATTTCTAACAATTAGATTGCTCTCCTCTTGTCCCCTCTGACAAAAAAAGAATAGGGGGTCCTTCTAGAAAAATATAGGAGCAAAGGCTGGCTCATCACATATGAGATAGAGTACCAAGAACCCCTATGCTGGATATGGAGCTAACATTAGATAGCATCCAAGTTGCTTCTATCACAAAGATAAAATCATTTTTAGAAAAGCGGTGACAGAGTATCAATGAGAGAGTAACTTAATCTAAAGATTAAAGATTAATTGACTTAATCTCAATATTAACCTGAGATTCTGATAAGGACATGGAGACCACCACAATGGAATCTGCATGTAAACAACACCCAAAGAGGTGAGTATGTACTGATGAAGAGTGAGGAATATGAAAAAGCTGTAAGCTGCCCGCATGATTTTATGGTGAGCCTTGAATGCCAGCAGCCAGAGGAAGACTTGTCAGTCTGCTGCTTTAAAGGAGGCAGGGGAGGAGAATGAATCAATATAATGGATATGTTTGGGCATGAAACATGTGAAGTTAGAGAAAAAGTGGTTATTCAAAAAGATGTATCACGAAGCTACGAAACCAAGATATTGGCAGAGGGAAGAAAAGAGAATTAATAACAACATCATATATTTAAACTTCTGAGGTTTTCAAAGAAGTGAGATGTGATAAGAAAAAGTGGGGTTGATTTCAACAGATTGAAATCCCACCTTGGCCTCTCAGAAGCAAAGTCATTTAAATCCTTAGCCTCTTTGAGCCTGAAGTGTTCTCATTTGTAAAGCTAAGTTTATACTCCTAAATCAGGGTTGTTATGAGATTTAAATGAGATGGTACCCTTGACATTCTTCCTTTGTTCAAACATTCTGCAGTACCTACTTGCCAAGCACTATGAATACAACACTCTTTTTACTGCACACTTTCCTGGGTGATATTATCTCGCCCACATGGCCTTAATTCCCAAAGCATTCTCATGACTTATAAGCCTGTATTACAGTTCCGGGGTGCCTGGCCATGTCGGAGGAGCATGCAACTCTTGATCTTGGGTTGTGAGTTCAAGCTCTACAAAAAAGTCTACATACAGTTCCAACCCAGAGCTCTCTCCTGACTCCCAGACTCACTCCAACTTCCCATTGGAGTGTTCCATGGGGATGTTCTGCAGACCTCTTAAAGGCAAATCAATTCGATTCCTCTGAGAAACCTAGTATCTCCCTCTGACTTCTTACCCCTGCTTCCTCCCAAAGCCAGCAATCTTAGTACTATTAGTGATTTCTTCTCTTGAAGCCCACATCCAATCACCATCATATGCTCTTCATTCTATTCTTAAATACATCCCCTCAAAAAAAAAAAAATCCCCTCCACTGAAACTCTACCACCTCCCCATTTCAGAATCTGATACTTTCTAAACCCTGCATCACTGAAATAGCCTCAAAAAGTTCCCATCTTTCTCCCTTCCAATCTGTTCTCCATACTGTTGCCAGATGATCTTTTAAAATGTAAATTAGATTATATATGTAACAAATTATTCAATAGCTTGCAAATAACTTCAAGATAAAATCCAAACTACATATTCTTGATAGTCTGGTCATTGCCAACTTTTCCAGCCCCATTCCTGTTCATAGCCTACATTGCATTCATCACTTAGCATTTCCTAGAGTTCCAACAAACTGTCTCACCTCCAGGCCTTTGCATATGTTGGTACATTTTTCTGAAATGCTCTTAATTCTCTTTATTAACTCATCCACATTTTTTAGACTTAGCTTAGATGTTGCCTCTTTCAAAACCCTATCTTGATCTTGTTCCCCAAAAGCTGAGGTCAGGTGTTCCTCCTACCTAAAAAAAAGCAGTCCTATTTCTCTATATATACAATAGCATTAAATTCTCATAGTATTTTATATTTCTGTAATATTTATCTGAATCCTCTACCAGACTAAGAGCTCTTTTGGGGTGGAGGCCCCCCACTTTGTGTCATTCTACAATGCCTGACATCTAGTAGCTAATCAATTAAAAACAAACATAATAGGGGGTCCCTGGGTGGCTCAGCAGTTGAGCGTCTGCCTTTGGCTCAGGGCATGATCCTGGAGTCGCGGGATCAAGTCCCACATCAGGCTTCCTGCATGGAGCCTGCTTCTCCCTCTGCCTTATGTCTCTGCCTCTCTATCTTTCATGAATAAATAAAATCTTTAAAAACAAACATAATAGCTAATACTTTTGAAACTTACTATGTGCCAAGTCTATACTTAACATAGAATATTTAATTTCTGCACTCCTATTCAAAGAAGGTAGTTTTATTATTCCCATTTTACAGACAAGAAAACTAAGATTCACAAAGATTAATATACTTGCTCAAAGTCATACAGCTAGGAAGAAGACAAGTTGTACTTAACTAAACATAGCTTTCCCCTCCTGCCAAAAAATTTCCCTCTTTTTTATGTCTCTAAGCTTAGGTCTTACATAGATTAATGCTCCTTAGAACTTTTTCATTATGACCACTCTTCTTATAAGCAGAAAAGCACCTTATAAATACCAAACATGGTGACATTAACTCACAAATGTAAAAGGAAGGCAATTAGGCAAAAAATTGGAATGCTGAAAGGTATATTTTACTTTCATTTTTTAAAAGATTTTATTTATTCATGAGAGATACAGAGAGAGAGGCAGA